AAAAATATATACATATAATTATATAATTATATCAAAAATAATACATGTACTAGTGTGTGAAATGATATGTTTTAATAATTTTCTTTTCAAATGTTGTCTAAATGAAGAAAGCTTATATTAGCTGAAAACTATTGAGAAACTTAATGCATATATGAATAATGCATATGAATAAGGTTATTATAGTACTGCATGATGAATAAGGTTAATATAGTACTGCATGAATATAATAATCTGTCTTGTCTTAATGTTCTCATTCAAGAGACGTATATATATATGTGAATTTAAAATTAGCATGCCCTACAGCAGTGTTTCATGTTCCAGTAATGAAATATCTCTACTCTCGAAATACATTGATTTTAAAGAGAAAAAAGCCAATTATAGATGATTATTTGAGCAGGGGTAAAGGATAAGCTACACATCTTCTTGTTCAACATGACGTCTGCAAAAGGTAAGAGGATAAGATGCCTAATACAACAGATTGTCCCTTATCCTATCAATCCTCTATCAAGGGTGGAGTATTTTTTAATTAAAAAAACCCTTTAAACTGTTAATCTCTTTATTCTCTTTAGAGAAATGGACAGGCGTACACGTGGATGTAGACGAAAGCCTATCCACTTCTCTAAAGAGAATATTATCACTAATGTATGGGGAATATACTGATGTGTGTGAAATATATTTTTCAACCAGTGACTGAATTACCATATTCCCTAAAAAGGGAAAAAGAACTCCTAATTCTTACCAAATTATTGTATATGTGAATAGATGTCAGGTCACTTGTATGCTATAGTAACAACATCAGAATGTTACACATTCATATTATTATTAAATGTACCGGTAATCAAGATGTTTCGGTTTTGATAATAGTGCACCTAAGAGAGTAATTAATATTATTTTATAAAAATCACAAGACAAAGCAACTGAATAACATAAATGTAATGTGTTGTGATATAATAAATCATCAGTTGTAATAGCTCATATGTTATTCTTATAAGGGAGAAAACTCATACAACAAGTTTGCCTGCTAATAAAGTCAATTCCATTTTGGTAATAAATAATATTTAAATCGAATTAAACTCATATTTAAAAAAAAATAACATTAAGATATGAAATGACAATATATAATGTATGAAGATAAAAAGAGTATTTCTTTTTTGTGTATATATGAATAGAGCTTCCTGCGAAAAGTGAAGAAAATGTAAAGGTTGATTTTGATACAGTAAAGAAGTTAGCTGGACGGGCCGTCTTGTTGTTTAGCGTTTATAATTCTTTATTTCACCCCCATCTCTAATATTTTTAATATATATTAAATAATACTAGATTATTTATATTTAATTTCTGTCAATGAATCTTGGCAAAATATATAGTGAATTACCTGCATTGGACTTATTTTGGCTGATATGGCTGTAAACCCCACTACATCACTGAAGTACACAGTTACAGATTCAAACATCTCGGCACAGACCCCCTTTTTTGTCTTCAGGTGACTGACAACTGATCTTGGAATCATTTGAAATAAAATCTCCTCAGTAATTTGCTTTTCCTTTTCTAAGAGAATTGTTTTTTCCGATAGTTCCTCTGCAATGCTAAAAATGCCCGCATTGAATGTTCTCACGGTTTGTACCACCACAAATAGCATCACAAAGACAAAAAAGGACAGAATACAGATACAGACAATCCTAGTTACATGAAAGGCTTTCTGGTTGTTAAGTGATGTTACCAAATTATGCTGATAGTAATACACTTGACTTCGGATATCGTTACTGACAAAGACTACATGGGAAAGGTAGGAAGAAAAGTCTTCCGTTCCATATAAATCATGGCAAAGGGAATTAAGAATAGTTTTATTATATACCCTATTATTTACAGAACGCAGATACACAAGTTTGGCTTGATGGTAGCTTTCAATTAAAGAAATTCTTGATGAGTCTTTACTGGCCAATCCACACTCGATCATGTCCATTAGAAGGAAATGGCATGATTCCACGGCAGCTTTATACTCCAAATAGTTTGTAATATCCATGAGTTTCATCTGACTTGTATCTTTAATGGTCGATGTTATTATAACAGAGAAATGGTTGTCAAAAACGGGTAGTTTTAGGTACTGTATATTATAGACATCAGAAGGGTTCAATTTTCCGGCCGCGTTACACAGAATGGGATCGTTAGAGTCATACAATTGGCAGAATTCTGTTAAGTAATGCTCAGTCCCTACTAGAGTATTGTGAAGACTCTCAAAAATACCCGAGTCATTGGAGAAATTGACCTCCATGATAGTTGTTCCTATATATTGTAACACGCCTAAAGTTGTTTGTATTTTCTTTGTGTTCCCTAGCATGATGTTACCGGACGTGTCACAAGAAACGATACTTATGGAATCAAGCACGATATCCACAAGTGTTAAGGCAACAGTCAACACAGTAGAGACGACACATACTAAGTAGACCTTCACCAAAAGTCCTTTACTAGTTTTACGTAATTTTTCATGTGCAAAATGTGTTTTAGTTTCCTCTAATTGACATTTTGTTTCCAATACAGGCCCTACCTCCACATTGGTATGCCAGTTGCACATTGGAATACAAGTAACACCTGACAGTTTACAAGGTTTCAGTCTACAGGTAACACACGACATTTTATGATAGTAAAATTTCATGAAGAATGCTGCTTTTTACCCATCCAGAAATCCATCTACAGTAAGTTTGTTTAAAAAATTGCTTTTAAAGAATTTTGTTAAGAAATGTGCATCCACTTGAAGAATTATATTCCATTAGTGATGAGATCGACATTGACTCGTTGCTTCTTTTACCTGCGCTAGGTGCTTTCTGTCTCTGAGCCGCTATTCAATAGGTTTTATCGATACAAGCATCACAGGCTATGACACAATTAAGGTAGGCTCTCTATAGAGATTAATTTGCATCCTTGAAAGGAAGGATGCGCAAATCTGGTTTTAGAAGTTAACCTTTAAAATGGTCTCAATTCTTTTCGAGACTTATAACTTTTTAAAATTGAACGTTTAATTAAAAAAAAAATCAAAAGAATTCGTAAAGAGTAGGAGTAATGATATTCATCCTCAACTTAAATAGCGATCCTGAGTCCGCTCAAGAACTGGACAGGATCCTAAATTAGGCTGTGGTTTTTGACGAGGTATATTTATGTAATCTAGTTGTTCATGGCAACTGTTGAATACAAACACGGTGGGATCATGTGCCGTGGATGGGTAAGCATCCCCTGTCGACCTCTCAAACCTGTCGTGCTCTCCGATTCATTTATCTTATTTATGATTTTGCTTTGCATGCCGATGCATACACGGAATATATATGTACAAAGACATTTAAGACAGAACAGATTGAGCAACTTTTCAAAGTATTAATGTTCAAGCCGTCAATAATTTTTTTTTAATTTTTGCATTGGTTAAATACATTTTTTAGGTAAATTCTTTTTTCCTATTTCATAGTTTCGTAAATAAAAACTAATTACATTCAGTAACCGAGATTTTGTTTCAAAAATGTATAGATGTATATGCCTTTGAAAGCCATCATTAATATTGATTTGTAAACCTATCAGACAACCTATGGCATCATATTTCTTCAAAGGTTTCAATCACGCTAACATTTGTGTAACGTGAGCTGATCTTTTGTGTGTGTCTTTGTGTTTATTTTGATGTGACTGTTGCATTTACTTTCAGACAATGACCTGATAAAATCGTCAAATTATTGATTAGTAATATCATTACAAACTAAAATAAAACGAAATTAGAAATGACGACATGAAGTTTGTTCACATTTATGGTGACTTTTGACCATGGAAGCCCATTCACTTACGAAAAATATTTGTATTTGAAAATGTTTTCTTTGATGAGAAATCATCAAAGAAGTTAGTCATTTCATATATGTCACATATATTTAAAAACTTTAAAAAACATTAAAACTTCACTTTTTTAATGGTTGGAAAAAATAGTGAATAAACATTTTTTATATTTCTGTAAGTAAAACATTAATGATATTTAATATTACGAAACAATAATAATTTTTCGTGAATATTAAATATATGTAATGTTTTAGGTAAAAATATAAAAAATTTTTTCACATTAAAAAAGTGAAGTTTTAATGTTTTTTAAAGTTTTTAAATATATGTGACATACATTGATAAGGCGTCCGACTTCGGATCGGAAGATTGCGAGTTCGAGTCTCGTCGTGGTCGGATATGAGGATTTTTTGTTACAAACATTGGCCAAAAAATATGGTCTTTGATTTTTAGTACAGAACTATGCTCTGTATACATGATGCTTTCAATTCATTAATTTTGTCGATTCACCTTTTTAAAAAAGTGTCTGTGGAATAAAATATGAAGATAATGAAGAAAATCATGCTTAAAAGTACAGAAAAATACAAAAATACAGAGCAGAGATATTTAAGACCTCTGAAAACTTCACAAGTGGGATCTTGTGCCACGGACGAGTACCCCCCCCCCCTCTTCCGCACTGTCTACCGGTCACTTATGCCGTAAGTCATTTGTCTTGTTTTTGTTAACGGATCAATAATTCGTTGTCAGTAGTAAGAATAATGGGCTAACTTATTAAAACAAAACGACAGTTATCATTTTACCAATAGACAATTTCATTGATATTGAAATTTTCTATAATCCACAGGCTGTAATGAGAACTATAATATCGTATCAGGAATCAGCTACATTTCACACAGCCTGCGTATGTATTTTAAGTTGTTTGAACAGTTCATGTTGGAGTGCTGGAACGGAATTTTCCTTACCCAAAACTTGTATGGATTTAATGTGAAAGCAGTGCAACCGAAGACAGCAGTAAAATTCTAAAAGAATGCCATCCCTGTTACATTTTTTGATTTGATTGGATATTGACCTGCCTTTTCATACAAAGTGTGAAGCCATTATTTTTATACTAAATTGTACGAGTTTTCCGTTACTCGATGATGTCAAGGAGCACATGGAAAGTGCAATCGCTGAACAGGGATACTTACTCCTCCATGGCACCTGATTCTACTTCTAATGTATTTACAGGTCCTGTATTTTCTGCTCCTAATGTATACTGTTCAAATGGATTTTTGAGCTTGAAAACTGTATGTTATCTTCATTTTTCACTGAAATTAAATTTGCACATTTTTTTTATAAGCAAAAGTATATAAAATTCTGTATGTATTAAATATTTTTCTTTGCTTCAAATCAAACTAAAAAGACACACTAGAAGCTAAAACAATTAACTAGGGACATCAACTCAATGCGACTTTACTGCTAATGAAAACAACTCCTTATCACTTTCTATAGAGAAGAAATGTCAATAATTCACTTTTCAAAGTTAAAATCAAGAACTTCATCGGAAGAGAAACTCTTTGTTCTTTTCTTGTCTATACATAATGCTTTAAGAACCTTTGGATTATAGCATTTGGGGTCTGAAACCATCCTCATGAACAGACTCCGACGAAGGCGAGCTCGGTGCAAATTACTTTTTTGCTGGTCAAAGATGAATTCATCGTCAAAATCTGGAAACACGTCATCAATGTCGGGGTTTTTCTGCTCAACACTTTCTAGCTTTTCAATATTTATCCCATTCTCAATATATTCTCGTTCCATCAGCAAAGCACTTGCCTCAGTTGAAATAACTTTCCATGCAAATTCAATGTCTTCCTCTTTCGCATTTTGGGCGCAGATTGCGAATCGAATGACGTACACTTCATTTAGGAGAGCTGGAACCATGTGAAGTTTTCCAGATTCGTTAATCATATGTAGTAACTTAGCAGTTAAAGAGTTTGGTCCCTATGGAAAAAACACGAATTAAATCCTAATATTGATGTAATTTTAATAATTAAACTTTCAAATAATAAAATGAATAATTTTATTTAATGTTATCTTTGTAATCGTAATCCATTAAGGACTCTTTTTTGCATTTGTTCATGAAATTTATTTCAAAATTTTTCTAGGTCTTACCTTTAATCGAAAACAAACAAGACCCATTACAACTTTTCCTAGAATTTCAAATCTAGCATCATTCTTCACGAAGGTTTCGAATAATTTGGCCAATTTCACATGCTGTTGAACAAAAGTAAGCGTAAGCATTTAATTTTCTGCGAAACATCTCAGACATTGAAGCCTTACATTAAAGCTAACCATGCACTGAAATATTGATTTGAAATTAGGATATGATTTCTCAGAATAACTCATATTCTATGAACTCTTTTTCGGGTAAAACTAGTAGATTACTCTCAAAAGTTTTCATTGATTCAATATTTATAACAGTGTTGAAGATATTAATTTTTATTTTATTTTAATCAAAATCATACAGAAATAAAACAAAATACGTAGGCACTGTATTTTCTGGGAAACATTTCTGGTCGTGTAGATTTTCAATTAAGCAAACTATTCATTTGCAATGAAATGCAGCATAATAATTGGGATATGATTTCTCAGGATAAATTACATTCAATAAACTCTTTTTTTTCAAGTAATACTAATAGATTTTTCTAAAATAAATGATAACTTAATTTCTATATCATCAGTGCATAGTATTCATTTAACCATAATTTTAACCATAATCATAATTTAATCATTATTTTCTCATCATTTAAACTGTATTTCATGAATTCATGATCATTCTGATTGAAAATCAGTATTTTTTTTTTTTTTACATGTGAATCTGTTCAATTACAGTGAGTATGTACCAGATGTATTTGTGCCTGTAGTCCATCTATTCCATACGTACGTAGGACAAACCATAGCTTTAAGGCTCGGAAACGCCGACTCAATGGGATCCCCCAATGCTGTAGCGGTGAAATAGTATGTTTCTATAATTTGCATTATGAAGCAGACTTTGTATCATAACAAGTAAGAGTTTTCAAGAAATGAGAAAGAAAGAAAATTACTTCTTTCAGAATCAATAAATGTTGTTTTTTGGTTTCAACTTGTCATTTGAATTTTTGACTCACCCGAAGATCAACCGTTTTATCTAAAGAAAAAAAGTTTAATATTATTTTGTTGCAAAATTAAGTATCTAGGATCCAGTCACGAGATAACGAAACTGACTTTGAAAAATTCAAACTTTAAAGATCTGTAAGCCGCTTTATCAATTGTGAACTGAAGATGATTATCAATTGTGAAATGAAAATCCCAATTTGCTGATAACAGCACTTTCTGCGATGAAATCTTAAACAATTTCTACGAATATTTAGCACATATGCATTATACCGTTTTGCTCTGCTCCAGCATGTTTTGTTATTAGGGACGGTTAAGTCAGCATGAATATTGATTAAACATTTATATTGATATTTAATGATTTAAGACCAGTTGCTTACATAATTTTGTGTATCAAACCTCAAAATTTGCAATTTCAGGTATTGATAAGTAAAAATATTTTTCTTTTTTTTTCTTAATGCTAATAGAAAAAATACAAAAGAAAATAAAGAAAAGAAAGAAAAGAAAATACATGTATCAATGGAAAAAATGAGACTTAAATTTACAGCAAATTCATTTAAAACAAACACAAACAAATAGAATGCTTTGAAATTGAAATTAGGCAACGTTAACACTTTTGGTCTTCAATGTTCAAATAAACAGAAGTAATTCAAATTGTACCAGTTAGAAGGGTTATTAGCTTTCGTAATTGACAAAGAGGAGTCCATATATATGATTATCCCAATCTTTGTATATCATTAAAAATAGTTCCATTTGGTTTTACATTTGAATTTAAATGTACATACAATCTTTTCTTTCGTTCATTAAGTATTTCCCTTACTTCGATCTCCTTCTGGTGTACGTAACATTGATAAATATGTAATATAAAGATTAAAAATTGTAACCTTTGTTTGACTTTTCTCTGATTGATCGAGTAACACATCATGTTTTAACACCCCCTTTCTCTGGAAATTTTACCTCCATAACGAAATGGACATGAGAAATTCATTAATCACCTTGATTATATTCCATCGATTTTTAGATGTAAATATGTTTGTTCATACATCACGAGGAATGTAATTTAAAACTTCATATGTAATAATAAGATTCACAGGTATTGATAAGAAATTTTTGCGTGCTTGTTTATCTTTAGTGGTCCAAAATTTCTACACATCATTAACTCATTAGTCGTATACAGTAAAGATGAAACGTCTAAAATGAAGACATACAATACATCAATTATATGTACTGATATTTACATGTTTACAGAAAGAAATATTTTTAACCTCAATATCGTATGTTGCGGTTTTGCTGCGAGTACATTCTGATAAGTAAACATTCATTTTGATTTCATAATTCTTAGAGCATCGAGGAGATGAACACTTGGGTTATTTAACGATACAATATATGGAGATAACGAACAGTATTCAAGCCCAGAAGTCCATTAAACAAATCAGACTTTGGAGAGCAGAGCAAACGCGGACCTCTAAAACAACTGAAGCGGGATCAGGTGCCATGGAAGAGTAAGCATCATCTGCTGACTGGTCACACCCGCCGTTTTCTCCTTGTCATAATCGGGAAAAAAACGTAAAGATCCATCGACAATCTAGCGTGTAAATAATGGTTTAACAGTACGTATGAAAAATGTCAGTCAGCATTTGACTTAATGATAAAGTGCATTTACTGACAAGGTCATTGTGTCGACCATAGCACTTACGAAATCATTACTTTAAAGGAGACTGCTGATATTCTTGTTTCATCAACTTTTTTGTCAATAACATATCTTATTAAAAAGAAATTGTTCATGTAGAGCACGCGCTAGAGTATTGAATCAACTAAGACATATAAACCCCGTATGCAGGTGATGAAGGCGTAAGGGAAGTTGACGATTGAAAAGTTAAAGTCATCTCGTAACGATGTTTATAGTATCGAAGTAAGGATGGAAATAACCATTGTAAATTGACAATAAGCTGTCGATATATCTAAATGTCGAAGGCCACATCAAGTGTTTTTTTTCTTTTCACATTTAAAAGTTTGAACAAATTCTGCTTAATATGAATACAAAAATAGGTCTGCAAATTACAGGTCGCATATTAGTACCCATAGAAATTAGTTTACAGTTATTGACTGGGTATGAGGGCAACATATGATTTGTTGGACCTGCCTGGTCAGAAGATGTTTGCTTCACGAGTTAAGGCGCATTGTGCGGATTGACCGCATCCTCCTGGGAAAGGATATAGAGGAAATAGACCTCACGGACACAAGCGTCCGAGAAACACACCTCAAAAGTGACAGATCAGGAAGAAACACGTAGTGTTACTGACAGATTCAGCAGGAAGGGGTGGGGGTTGAGTGGTTATATAGAGGCCACTGAAGGTGAAAATGTTGCCCGAGGCCGCACGCCAAGGGCAACATTTTCAGCTTCAGGTCCAACAAATCATATGTTGCCCGAATCCCTGTCTATAACTGTTTTGTTATACCCTTCAGTGCTAACTTAAAATTTAATCAATACATACTATATTATCAATTACTTTATATGAAAAATTATGGTTTGATCAGTAAATATAAAACAATAGCTGAGAAAGAACAAAATTAATTATATTTTTAGTAAATCACAAAACTTATTTATCACAAAACACACTCTTCCCTTCTTCCTTACCTTTCTGGTAGCAACAACTCTTGCAGCTCTTAATTAACTTCGGCTATTTCCGTGTCGCCGATATTGAACGGTAATTTTAAAAATACTTGTGACGTAGCAGTGACGTTGCGATCTAACAATTCTTATGTTGGACCGGCAGCGCAGTCAACAGTGAAATTGTTAGACTGATGTAATAAACATTTCATTTGTTGGACTTTTTATTAGTAATAAATATATAGAAAGCTATTTATAAGGGTATAACAAAATCGATTGTTGGATGACCTGGTCTCCAAAAACCACATAGATATTGTCAATCAGAAACTCGAGCATCGTTTTAATATCAACTTCAGGGTACTTCTTCACGTCAGATTTATATAAAATCTTATCTTCAATAGTCTCATCTGCCCTGTATTTTGTTAATGACATTATTTAATTGCCTATTCAGCTGTAATCAATCAGAAAACAGAAATCTACAGACTCATTATAAAAAATATTCAGGATCAAGTCACGATATCTAAATAAATGCTTAATGAATATTAGACTTGAACGGAAAAGGTCGTATTTAATTCTGATTAACATCAATTGATTTTTCTTATGAAAATGTTTAAAGTGGAAAGAAATAAAAATTAAGGATGTCATTCAAAAATGAAAAGGAAGAATGACAGTTTTTTAATAGTACATCTCTGAGTTATTAGTTGTTTTTCTATTGAAGGGAACAAAACTCTTCCCTAAACGAAATAAAAGTTCTCACCGTCATGTTTATGTTGTAGATACAGAGGATCAACCGTCATTGATGAAGTTAACAAGGAATTGTCGCTGATCCTGCAATAGAAAAATATGGACACCTATGGTTACATGTAAACATTTACAGAATGCTTTCTTAAAACTGCAGGATGTTTAAAATAAATTATCCAAATTCATTCTAAGATTGAGTGTTTTATGTAACAATGGATAAAATGCAGTGTAATGGATTTGAAAATGTCAAAAAAGATTTTAACAGCTTTAAACCACGTGTCTCTATGGGAATCCCATGTAAGAATCAACACAAAACTAGCAAATCACAATAATGAATATGATAACCGTTTTATTCTGTTGTGTTTAATATTGTTTCCAGTAAAGACTGCCATAATTAAATTAATTTTATTGCAAGTAAGAAACTCCACGGAATACCAGGTATCATATGTCCAGTTACACTAACTATTTGAATTAAGCATACTTTTGAAGCCAAAATACCACTTCCAGTTTGATTTTACATGTACACCGATGAGGCCTATAGTTGAGTCCACATTCTACTCTTTATAGTTTCACAAAGGTGATTACAAAAGATCCTTTAATCAGTACAAGGACAATCTCACATGTGAAATTGACAGCAGTGTTTAACCCAAATCAAAATAAAGGTGTGAATGACTTGCAATGTTACAAAAACTCCTTGACCATAGAATGATGGAAAACACTCGTTTATCAAGGTTATCTCTAATTATTTCCATTTCATATTGAATCTATTTCTAATCAAGGACAAAGATTCATCGTTTGTTAATCAAGGTTCGATAAAGGTACATGTAGCTATTTGTCATGTTATTAGGATAATTTTTGTCAATATCAAAAGTGTACTTGGAAATTCCAAAAGCTACGTATTCGCAAAGAAATACATGAATAGTCATTGTTAGACCAGCATAAATCATGGCATAAAAATTGGTGGGATGAGCAACTACTGGTCATATTTGCCGTGAAAAGGCTTATATAACTTACCGGTACTGCGATGGATCTATAAAACCTAGAAACAATAGATCAGGTTATAAAACACGAGTCCCTATACAGATTTCAGACATGGGATCAGATGCTTAGGAGAAGTAAGCATCCCCGGTGAACCGTATCTAGCTCTCGGTTTCTTCATGTTAAAATACAAGTGTTCCAATAAATCTCACCATAATAGAGAGCAGTCAAAGTTCACAAGAAGCCATTTGTTTGGGTTAAAGTTGATGGAGGTTACATTCTGCAATATAGAACTTTTTTTCAAAACTAAATTTGACACAGTATAGTTAGTTTTAAGATTTATAAACTACATTTGAAAACATTGTGTGTATCTTTTTGAAAATAGAAGAAACTTTATATTCACCTGAATTCCACTCATAAGAAACCTGAATTCAGGACAAATGAGGGCGTTGCCGGCGTAGGCAGCGTCAACATGTAGCCAGACATTTTCTCTGGAACATACTTCCCCCAACTCCGCAACGTTATCAAAAGAGCAACACGCTGTGGTGCCGATTGTAGAGCATACCTATGTTTCAGATATATATACTGTATAAAGGAAACTTTTCAAATCCGTTTTATTTTCGCCCCCCCCCTTTTTTTGCCCTTGACAAAAGTGGGCGAATTTCAGACGGAATGAATTAAAGAAAAAAGAAAAACTTTTTAAACAGGACCGTGACTGGGGGAATTTAAAACGGGACAAAATGGTTTGCAAGTGTGAAAAGGCGAAAATAAGACGGGGCGAAAAAAATCCTGTATACGGTATTTACTGATATACGTACGTACACAAACATGATCTATACTTGTTCGAGCAATTATAAAATGGCTCGTAGTTAACTTTTCTCTCATTAGATTTTGTTGAAATAAGAGGACCATGGGACATGCACATCATTTACCTGGTTAACCTTCGACTAATTAGAAAAAAAAAATATTGCTATATTTTTTAAGCCGATATTTTAGCTCCACTAGCTCTAGACATAAGTAATTAACTTAATCAAACTTGAATACCCCAAGCTCCTAAATCAATATTGCTGTTATGAAGTAGAATTTTTTTTTCATCCTTATACATTCATAATACAAAATTTAAGCCTGATCCTACCTAAGGGTCCATAACTTAAAAGTTACTTAAATCAAAATAATTATATAATACAATATAATGGAAGCATATTTCTAGAAAAGAGATTTTTAAAATATCTTTTATATTTCCATGTAAACATTTTACAGGCTCATCTTAGCTCAAGTCGCCATAATTTGAACAATTTAAGATCTGCACTTCATGAGGATATTGCATGTAAATAAGTTAATTATAACCTAAAGTTGTTGAGAAAATTTATAAGGATTTTTTTTCCTATCGCGCGTTCCTATTTAAATCTTTCCCCATACTCTGGTTTAACTCTACCTCGGAGTACAACCTAAAATGAAGCTTTCATTTAAGTTTTGTCTCTTCTGGGTCTGTGGTTCAACAGAATACAAAAAAAAAAAAAAAAAAAAAAAAAAAAAAAAAGAAAAATTTGCTTCCTTTATTTTTTAAATACTTCATATTAAAAATTTCCTTAACAATGATTGCTTTTTGGTTGACATAAAGTTAATAGCGGATGGATAGACAAACAAAACAGACGGACGTGTGGACGCTAGACAATGGGTGAACAGAAGAGGTGGATAATAGCTTAAAAATTGAAGAAACTGACAGGACATAATTGATTAGACAAAGTTGAGGAAAATATTCTTTATTCAATTGATGTACACTGATGTAAACTCAGTTTCTTTACCATTAAAATTACAGGAATAAATTTGATGTTTACTCACAAAAAATGGGATAAGACCGAGACGTCTATCTTCCTAAAAGAAAACAAATTAAAAAAGATTAAAATGTTATTGAATTGCAAAAATATTTACGTTTTTGTAAAAGATGGATTAAAAAAAAATCAATAAACCTAAAATTTGTAAGTCTGTTTCTACAGTGATAAAAGTTCACGGTTTTAAACAAGAATTCCAGTCAAAATGGGTTTAATTTCAGGCTTTAGGTGTGTGTCTTGTTACAAAACTTAATTGCGAGATGTAAACCCGTTATTAACAATCGGTATATTTCGCAAAAAAAAAAAATCAATCAAGAACACAACAAACTAAAACCATCGTGCTTCATCAGCTGTTCATTCCCAATTCACAGTATATTATTGTAAGAAAATTTGAGATAAACTTGATGCAAAGGACAGTCGAGTTTGATAGGCTGACAAGGCTCTCTGGTTTTATCAGGTTATGTTTGACGATGCAATATTATTCTATACATGTTCATGTTTACCTCTATTGCCCCCTCAAGAACATCATCAGTTTATGATGGACGATGCCATATTATTGTATACATGTTTATGTTTACCTCTATTGCCCTCTCGAGAACATGCCCCCTGAGTGAATACTGTTCATCAACATCCAGTTGTCTCATCTTGACAAATCCCAACATCCCTGCTTTTTCTACACAGGAGTGTGCCTACGGGAGATACATGGATAAGGAAATATATTCTACTGATGGGAAATAAAATAAGACATTTTTTTCTACTACTGCATTGAGGACTACCCCTGTCCTGTCTCACCTTCATGATTATTTATACATCCTTACAATCCAATTTGAAACGCATAAAACGTAAGTTTCAAATAATCTTTATGCAATATCAAACCAGGAATAACATAATATACATTTTAGTGAACCGTTATAGGACACAATGTTCCAATCTTCACAGGGTAAATTTGGAGAAAATATAAGTAACAATCAAAAAGAGGTAAAGGCAAAGAAAAAATATTAAGAAAAACAAGTATCTGAAACAATGCAAATAAAAATAACCCCAAAAATCCAAAACCCAGAGGATGAAAATCCAAGTATTTTATGTATACCCCCCCCCCCCCCATTTCAATCAATGCATTCTTATGATCAAAATAGAACAAGAGTTCAGTGTTGTTTTGTTTTGTTTTTAGCAAGGATTCAGTGACTATAACTGATAAATATTTTTTTCTATTTCTGGGAATAATTGTCTCTCGTTTTATTTTCCCTTCAACTTGTATAAGCAGTGCATTCTTAATTTCCTTTTCCCTGTGTTATTGATTGAATACGTTGATATTTTTCTTTGATACCTTCTCAAAAATTCAGAGTAATTTTCATCCTGTTATTATGCAAAGCTTACCAGTTTTGATGAATATGCTACAAGCTTGGATAAAAGAACACCGTCTTCCATGTATGGAAGTTGTTTCTTCAGCTGTGTCATGGCTTTGTGTCTGGCTGCCAGTAACATTACAAGGACACACTCGCTAGCGGAGCCCTGAGTAATGTCAGTCATTTTATTACATATTCATTGTATACTATTACAGAACAAAATAATCCGACTTTTTTAACTTTGTCGCATACTGCAGCATTGGCTTAAAAGGCAATATATACATATACGACTTTAAATTCTATAACATACATGACATCTGACCCCATGCCTTGTGTCATGGAAGTCCGTGTTTGCTCTGTTCCTGTTTGATTTGTTTTATGGATTTTTGAGCTTGAATACTGTTCGTTATCTCCATATATTTCATACTGTTTTAAGGCATTATTTTATTTTAATAAAATTTTATATTTAAGAATATCATCATGCATACCTAAGACCATTCACATTAAGAATAATTTGGATCAATAAAAACATCATAAAAAACAATTTTAAGATTAAAATGCCCGTATCTGCATATAAAAAACACATAATGTTTTAGAAATAGCCATATGCTCTTTTCATAATGTCAAACAAGACCTTTTTCTTGTAAATAAAAGTTTTTCGATAAGACGGCTCTCCATTGAAATATTTTAAGGCATTATTAAACATATGGCACATTAAGTCTATGTATGAAAATGTCTGTAAGTTTCTAATATTAGATTAAAAGTGCATGAAAGATTTTAAATCATGATATCAAATGTAGTGAAAAAAAAAAAGATGAACCTGAATTACTCCACCACCTTTTCCCTCTTCATGCAAGAACTGTTTTGGCAGTCCTATTGATTTTCCTGAAAAATAATGCAATCAGTCTTATCAAAATGGCATAATGATACGAGATGAAATATATCGAAAACTGCATCATTTTAAGGATATATTTTTAGATGAATTATTTAAGCAACAAGCAATTGTGTATCCCTCAATAGAGAACAGTTACTTTGAATTTTATTAGTGTTCAGGTTATCTGAGGGTCCAATTGCAATTTGTCTCTCTAAAATAATGGTTCAGGTCATAAATATTGAAAAATGATTAATTACCTATCCAATCTAAAACGAGTGTCTCCAATTCCGTACAGGCAGGACTTGCAGCCTGTAGAGGAATATGAAGCTTGTTTAAAAACACATGTGCAACAGTTCTAAGATTGCTAAATCATATTAAACTCGAATAATCATAATACATGATGTCTTACCCATGAAAAACCCACACAACCAATGGCATTTGACATCATGTCACCCAGTATGGAGGGGAAAGAGTTGCCAGCGGGAAAATAAGCGTGAAAATTGGGATGCTGCCAATGGGTAATCTAAAACAGGTTTTAAACTCAATGACATAAGTAAGTAAAGAAAGAGTGCTTCAGTTTTAAAATATTACTGTAAGTCGATAAAATAAAAAAAAAAAAAAACTCACACCGGGCATGATTGCTTTTTCAACATCATTCATTATATCTTCAAATTTGTCTCCTTTTAGTGGGGGTCTTCCAGGAAGTAGGTTTCTAAGATAACCAGGCTCCACTTCCGGCGTCACTCTCCTCCCACTAATGGTGTCCATGTAATTGGCGATAAAGTCCACCATTTCCTTTCCTCGTCTCCTGAATTCCCCAGAGTCCATAACTCAGGAATGCTATTTCGATACACATAGAAATGTAAGTAAAGAATACATGTATATATGTAGAATCTCCAATGATTTGTGGTTTGACATAATTTTTTATACAACGAGTTTTATGAGTGAGCATTGGCGAAAAGAATAGCACACAAGCATTTGGGTAAAAAAAAAAAAAAAAAAAAAAAAGCCTTACCCCAAATCATGAGAAATTCGTTTTATGACACGTATTAATCAAAGTTATTTCATGTTTTACACTATTTAATATATTTTTAAAAAGCATCTTGATCAAGTTTGAGCAAAAATCATTATGACGTCAAAACCGTGCATATGAAAATATAGCTGCAATAATGTAGCCCTCCGTAATGGTCCAAAAATATTTTTTAAATACGGGCGACTGCAGGCAGAATAAATTATTTTTACATTCAACTTACTTCTAATAAGACAAAATTTTTATTCACTGTCGACATCATGGCCCGTTAAACGCGAAAACCATGTAAACTAAATCAGTGTGCGTTACTCAGCAACCATGGCAGTTCACGCGTGACATACTGAGACTTGCGCTTGAAATTTAGAATAACTCAATAAAGCAAATGTCGATGTTTATAAATAATTGTGATGAATAGTAACATTAAACATCTATAAATAAAATCATTCCATGTGTTATTTTTTTCGTAAACAGCGATAATTAGGGTTAAAATAAGGTAATTCCAAAAAAATCCGCTCCCTATAGATCCTTAATCTCATTGGCTGTCCCAAAAAAAAATCTGTCAAGGTCAGTAAACATGGCGGATGAATTTAAGTTGTGATGTTGACATACACGAAAAATACGGAAATATGGATTGTTCTGTATATTTTTGGATCGATTTATGTCTGGGATAACTACATTTTGGAAGTCCAGGCAAGACATAATAATAAGATAGCCGTTTATTGACAATTTGAGCCGAAATCCGTGCGGGAGTGAATCGCTGCCGCATTGCACCATTACGGAGATCCTAAGGAGTTGTAGCCCTCTCCCCCCCCCCCCCCCCAAAAAAAAGGGAGAGGGCTACATTATTACAGCTAATGAAAATAATAACCTAAAAGCTATATCCAATGTACACAGGAGTAAACATGTGATAAATGATGCTTTCAAACACTGTCAATGAATGTTCAATGTGAGCAAACAGATAGATAGAAGTTGTACATTTCTTTGAGAACTTTGTTCTTGACTGCCACCAACAGCAAAAGCAGCCTCAGATGGCTTCCTCAAGGGCAACCAATTATTTCACAACTGTGACACAAGACATAAGTATGATGCTATTGTTATTACTTTCTTATTCCGATTGTTAAAAAATATATATTTGACGCCAAATACTTAGCATCACATACAATTCGAATCTCTAACAATGTACTGTGTTACACTATTATGGATATCGAGCGTATTTTTAGGCGCTGATGAAGAAGCCTACAGAATTAACAAAAGAGATTTTCAGATCTACTTCATCCCAATATCCAGATCTTATCTCTCTTTAAAAATGCGAACTTGAAACTAATTATTTTGTGTCTAATGAAAATGCTTCAAACAGATCGTCTGGTATATAATAGGTTCCACAGTTTCCCCGGGGGTATCTGATATAAGATTGTTCAATAAGGACAATATTCAATATACCACGAAGTATTGTTTCATTGTTTCTCGGCAGAGTTAGAGTTTTACGCTTTCATCATTTCAGCTGATCTGAGAATGAGACTCTCGATTTCTTTGAGATTTGAAATCAGTTCCATATGCATTTAAATTCACTTTTTGATATCTCAGTTGGTTCAGTAAATGTTTTTTTAACCAGCAGTGTATAATGATTGACCACCCAATCATCACAACATATTGACTTTCACATAAAACCAACAAACAATTTTCAATTCTGAAAACAAACAAGGAAATTCATACAACCCAGCGGAATTGAAAGCGAGGATTTAAGAGGATGAGTATACGGCATGCAAGAAATACAAATGAAAGTGGAGGTCTCGTTATAATCAAGAAACTCTTATCAAAGAGAGGCTACTCTAAAATCATCATGAGCATTACTTGGACAGAAAGAATGAAGACTCTACATTAAAAAATCAGCAAATCAAAACTCTTCATTCCATTAGCAATGGATTGCGAATAGTACTTCTTAAAATACTACATGCAGAACGAAATGAAAACAGACACAATTTGGAAATAAATAAATAAATAAGTTATTTTGGAACCAATTATAGCTTATATATCAAGACAAAAGGTTAGACCGTGAAATGTGGTGATAATAAACATTAAAGTCCATTTGGACAATACAAATCGGGAAGCAAAGCAAACAAAGTCTCCAAAACATTTGAGGTGGGATCGGGCGCCATGGAACAAGGGGCTTTCCCTATCGACCAATTGAACCCCCCGTGTGCTCCTTGTCATAAACGAACAAAAAACGAAAAAAAAAAAATCCATAGACAATTTAGTGTGTAATATTGACTTAACAATTGATATGTGAAACCACAGTCAGCATTTGACTTAATGTTAGATTGTATTTGGTGACATTGTCATTGTATTGACCATAAAACTTAATGATATTGACTCCAAACAAAACTGCATGTTCATATCCTTGTTTAATTATAAATATTGTTTGTCAGTAGCGTGCCTCGTTTTAGAAATTGTTCATACATTGTGAATAGGAGATACTCTTGCGCATCGGATCTACTGAAAGAAATAAACCCGCAGGTATATTGTCGGGATGTCAAATCGGTCATTTTTTTTATAATCGGTTACTCGGACGATTTTCCGATCGAGTGAAGAGTAAAGATATATCCTTGGTATATATATATATATATATATATATATATATATAAATATATATATATATATATATATATATATATATATATATATATATATATATATATATATATATATATATATATATATATATATATATATATATATATCTTTGTTTCTATAGAATTTTCAAAAATACAGAACAAGTGTTGTAATTCCAATTAAATTTGCTTACAGGAAATGCGTTTTTTATATCGTAGAGTAACATAAATTTCCTTGCAAAATCTCAGAGAACTTTAAGTTTCCATCTAAAAATGATTTTAAACAAAAAATACATATCTTAACATTTCCACCAACAACTCAAACATGTTTATTAGCTGCATGACCTGACATTTTACATAAAGACAACGATTGACTATGAAGATAAATATTCAGGGTAATGAAGGCATTTATAAGGAAATATGTAGAGATGTAGAAATATGTAGAACAGTATTCGAGCTCAAAAGTCCATTAAACATTACAAAAAGATCAAAATCCTATTAATCATATTAAAAGGAGGGGAATAAAAATCCAAAATATATGATTTAAATAAGATTTAAATATATTTTTCTCTATATTTTGTATCTTACAATTTAAAAAAAAAATAAATAAATAAAAACCATATTAAATGAAGGGAATACAATATTGAAATAATTTATAATATGCAATAATTAAAAAAAATATCAACAATAAAAAGAGAGGAAGACTTGAAAATATATGATATAGGTATATAATAAGTGATTTCTACGTTACCTTATCTTTGCTGTACATGTATATAATAAGTGATTTCTACGTTACCTTATCTTTGCTGTAGTTTTCCAGTCTTCTGGGCTCTCAATGTTTTTTTCCCAATTTATTCTTGTTCCCATCCCACAACCAACCGACGTTGACAGCAAAGTCAGGACCTGGTCTCCATTACACGATTGACTGGATTTTAGGGAGAGATGATTGGGTTCTAATTCTGGAACTCACACAAATTTAACCCAAGGAAGGAACCTGGCTTTGACATCAATTTCAATATGCTCTATGGTCCATAAAATTTTTATTTGGTGTTATTAATCAGGCCTTCTGTCTTTAATTGCTGTCTTGTACAATGACTGATCCGCACAGTCCTTCAGATCTTTATTTATCCGATTATTTATAGAGGAGGTTTCCATATGGTCTTCTATTTCAAAATGTTTAAATATAAAATTGGCACAATACACTGTACTTCTACATTATGAGAATTTATTGATATAGTCAATCCACTACGTTTTTTTTTATACAAACTGTAAATTTATTCACTGATGAAGATATCTCAAAGGAAATAATATTTTATAATCTTTTAAATTTACATCTTTTATGTGCATATATATGGGGCGACAGTTCGAAAAGTACAATCATACCTTTTGTCTTTAAGGATTAAATCAGAAATATTTATTGTTAACATAATTTTCAGAAGATAGATTTAGTTTTAATGTGAGCTTTTGCAAAAGCTTATAGGACAAGAATCTCTTTAACTTTGAAAAGACTCCTATAGACTTAAATACTAAAAAGCTGAAATTTCATGGTTGATCTCTTTTTCTATCTTTATCTGGATACCGGTATTTTTTCTTTTATTCTTAAGCTCTTCTTAGCTCTCTCTTCTTAGATTACAAAAAGAAAATTTTTTCATCATTTAAAACAGTTTTATGATTTATGGAGTTTGTTAATATCAGAATTCTCTTTTTCAACAGGGAATGCATATTTCCCGAATTAGCCTATCTATTTTAGTTTTTATTTGTTATAATAGCATTTTTAAAAAATATATTTTTAAATAAGAAAAATGTAGAAGAATCAGTCGAGTGTATAATAGCTTTAACATCCATCTGTACAATATGAAATGGGGAATATATTTTGCAAAATTTCTTTTGCCTCAAATATAAGGAGATGTACACACTCTGAGATTCTGGCTGTGTGTAAAACTTTAGTTTAATAAACTAATAGCAATAGCTTAAAAACCCTTGAGCTTTTGCAGTGAAATATATGAAATCCGAGGTAACAAACAATATTCAAGCTCAAAAGTCCATCTAAAAAACAAAATTGGAACAGAGTAAACACGGCCCACAAAAAAAAAAAAAAAATTAGAGGTGGAATCAGGTGCACAATAACTCTTTATGGCCTAAAAATAATCCTTTGAATTTGTGGTCAAATGGACAAAGACTTAATGTCATAAATTCATATATTGCAAATAATAACTTCCTTCCTGGTTTCCTTTGTATTTTTCTCAAGAGGCTTAGAAAAACTCCTTTGAAACTTAAAAACTATTGTTTTGAAAGGCGCAAACGTCAAGCATGGTAATTCAATCATTCTGTCTGTGAGTAACAATTTTGTTTCCGAACGATTGTTATAAGCTTTTGAGATTTTGCATTGAAAAGATCCCTATTGTTTTTAAGGTCAACAGGTCAAAGGAAAAGACAAATATATATATAGGGTGAATTCACCATGCTTCAGACACATACCTTGCTTCGGACAACTTTAGACAATAAATTCTCTTTCAACTTAAGAGTTCCGTGTATTTATTTGTTTCTGTCTTGAAGCTGAAGATTTAAATTTTTTAATGATACCGATTGTTATCATCATGTTGTGATAAAAATACCCCGAGAATGACCTTGAAGTTACGTCATATTTTACATCATCAAAGGGGAATAACCAAAAATTTATGATTTTCCGATTTTTAGAGTTATCTTTCTTAAAATTCGACTTCAACGGAACGAGTCAGACTTGAGTCAAAAATTGGCAATTTTACATAAATTGTAAAGAAATTTCACTTCAATATTCGTATAATCTTTTTAGAGCTGGTTTTCACTAGTACGTTCATTTCTCCGTACATCGGACACAAATTAACCATGCATCGGACACTTTCCGAGGCAAAGGTAAGCACTTCCATTTTCACACAGAACCCAGCTGATAGCTGTTTTTTGCGGAAAAAGAAAATAAAAACTCTATATTTTCAGTCAAAATACAAGTTATCGATATATGACGTCTGGAATTTGACTGAATTTATTTCTACAAACCAGAGTATGATAAACCATGAAAAAAGGCGCGAATTACCGCATTCTAAGCATTTTAAAGCATTTCTAAGGCAGAGTGAGGTCTCTTGAATCGTTTTACATTTGTGCAACGATATCGTCAATTAAATTTAAGTTGATGGTTATTTCTTCGATAAAAGATAAAAATATATCCATATCAAGCATTTTAAAGCACTTTGTGAAGGTATGATATTTTTTCGGTCAAAATACCGTCTGTCCGATGCATGGTAAACAATGTCCGATCAATGGTGAATTTTGAGTTATATCTAAAAACTCGATTCTTGAGGATATTTTCTCAATAAAGAGCATATAACTGTGTCCCAAATTGATATTTTAATCACAAACTAAATGTTAAACTCCATTTTGATACTTTTCCGTTGGTAACGATATCGCTAGAACTTAATTGTTGAAGTACAAGGGTATCCGATGCATGGTGAATTCACCCTACTAGCTGCCAAAAATGGTTCCCTTATGTTAAACATACCTGGTAATTCTTTTGAGCATTTTCAGTGATGATACATGTATAATTATGCCTTTACTCTCAATGACATAAAGAAGAGTTCGAGTCAAAAGGTAAAAATCAAGGTTTGAAATTCAAAATACAGCCCAAAAAATAGCTGGCAGATTAAATCTTTACTTTTTCTTGAACTTTTTTTTTTTTATAAAAATTTTATTTTATTACTCAAATTATTTCAGAGAGGACAAGGTTTCACATACGAGTATACAATACCCTTCAACTTTAAATAATACCAATGACTGACATGAAAGTGACAAAAAATATCATCCTCATCATGTATTGCTCATCTGAACTATCATAGTTTCTAAATATATACATATTTATTTATATAAATGATCTCTGTATTTTAAATTCAACTTTCGTTTTACGTTAAAAGTGTCTTCCCTTTAATAAAAATATATAATGTTAATAATCTGTTTTGTTTATTTTAAAATCCTTTACTCGTATATACTCCTTTGACAAAATATACAACGTTGGTAAAATAATTAACTTTATATAAACAATAAAGATTTTACTAACAGGAACTTTAATTATACAAAATTTAAGAATTAATCAACCAAAAACTGCATGCATGTATCTAAAGATTTTGAAATATTTTCTACATTGAGGTTATCAAAATAATCTACAACAACACGGGTAAACAAAATCTACTTCATGGTATGTCAGAATGAAAAGTAAAAGTATAGTAAAACATTTATTGACTGTGTTCTCGGGCAAGCTGTCTTGGTAGACAGGCAAGCTTGAGCTCTATGTTTTCCGAATAAAATTGCTTTAAAATCGATGAAAATTTGCTTTAAAATGAAAAAAATTCGAAGATTGACCTATTTTCCGACCTCTCTGTGACCTCTGTGTATTCCAAAACTTAGAACCAATACTCATTTCGTGGCAGGGGTGAAACAGATTTTTATGGATAAACCGTTGCATCATTCTGAAAGACACCCAAAATCAGTGACCAAAAGAGACCTACCCTATCTTGTCCTTTAAATATCTTTCCATGCTACAAATAGGAAGTACCGTTTTATCACAATTAGTGGACTCTCAACATAAGATTGCGCCGGTAATGCCCCTGTTCATAGCGTGGTTGGTGTCGACAGGTGTGCAGTGCAGGCTGCAATGCGTATCGCCCTCCACGATTACCGGGTCGTGGGTGTCGCTGCGTATTCCTCACCGCCCCGCAGCCATGTTGATACCAACAGACGTCGTGAGCCTGGGTTTTCTGCAGTCAGAGAGTTCCGTTGTTTTCAGTCCAACCAATCAGTAAGTAAAACATATTATATAATTTTGAATATTTCACATATCACGTTTAAAAATGGATATGATTTATGAATTCTTAATTACTAGTATTCATAATGTAAAATCTATCGTTTCCATTAAACTATATCAATCTATGCAAATATCAACTTACCTAGACTTATATACTTCCGCCAATTGAAAAAAAGGCTTCGAATTCATTCCACAAAATCTACAATATATATGAAACCCTTTAAATAAAAAAAATTGTTTGCTTGATCATATTTCGAAGATGTTATGGAAATTATAGAAACTATGGGATGGATGTTATTTTCACCTCTCAATCGATCCCCCTCTCTCTATCTTCTTTCATGGGTCATTCGTCATGGAGTAAAAGTTACATTGCTTGAATGATTTTATGGGGTCATATATTCGTAGTGACCAATTTTTGTTGATTGCTTACAGTTAAAACATCGACGAAGAAATATCATTGTCAAACTTTTCATTTTAAAGAAATACATTTGTTTACCTGATCAATACAGAGGACAGACAGCAGGTGTGTCGGACAACGTATACTTTTTCTTTTATTGAATTGGGGACGCTTATTTCTCCTAGTCATTTGATCCAACCTCTAGAGTCCTGTTTTTCAGGAGGAGCACATGTCTTGTCCTGTTCACAATTTGTAATTTTTACTAGATTTCGGAGTTGATAAACGCTCGTTATTTCAACCTTTTTTTCATATAATTTGTTATTGTTGTCCATGTGTAGAGAAGGGGAACTTAAAGACTAAAAAATGTATCTCTCAAAATATTGTTTTACCTTTAAAATGTTTCTTATATGCTAAAATTCTAATTTTTCCATTGTTTTTCTTGTTTGTACAAAAATATCGTTGTGTGTTTTTAGACAAAATTCATTTTGTCGACCTTTCTAACGCCTTTAGCGAGGACAAATTTTCTTGGGTTCCACAGCCACATTTCCTCACACCCAATCAATAAGTGAATAAAGATTCTACAATACACTGGTAGCCACAAGCCTCACATCTTTAATAATTCTTTTAATACTGGGTCCAAAATGTTTAAATATGAAATGAAGTCCTTTTTTGTTATGTGCAAAGTTCTAACATACTCAAGCTAAGGAAAGACATTGTTTGATACCACAGAGTCGGACACATCTGTTTTATATTTGGATATTTTACTTGAAAAAGACGTTAATAGTAATCTAACAGCAAAGCTCTATGATAATCGTGACGACTTTAACCTTTCAATCGTCAACTTCCCTTACTTATGCAGCAATATACCTTCATCATGCACCTGCATACGGGGTTTACATCTCTGTTGATTCGATACACAAGAGCATTCTCGACGTATGTACATTTTCTAAAACGATGTAAATTGTTGACAAACAATTAATGAAACAGAAATATTCAGCAGTCTTGTTTAAAGTCATCATATCGTAAGTTTTTTAACAGCAAATACAATTTATCATTGAGTCAAATATGCTGACTGACGTTTTTCATACTAATTGTTTGTCCATTATTTACATACTGAATTTTCAACGGCTTTTCCCGTTATTTCCCGATCATGACAAGGAGCACAAGGAAGGTGTGTCCGGTCGGCAGGGAAAGCTCATTCCTTCATGGCACTTGATCCCACCTCTGATGTTTTGGAGGTCCGTGTTTGCTCTGCACCTATTTTGTATTGTTTTATAATGGACTTTTGAGCTCGAATACCGCTATATCTCCATATGTTTTACCATGAGAATTCTACGAAGTCAGAAAATGTCAAACGCTATATATTGAAATCTAAATAAATCAACGCTTTATTTTCATTCTTGTTTACTTTGGTCATCAGTTTTCTGTAGCTGAATTCAATAATGCATAATATAATAAAAGGCACTATTATTGTACAGTCAGAACTAAGAATAATGTTGTTATGTGTATATTGTTAAGGTAAATAGAACAAAATAAATACATGTAAGAATGAACAAAATCATTAAAAATGATATCAATATTGAAAATGTCTTTATTTCAGCAGTTAATATTCCTATCGCCCATTTGAATACACTGGTCAAATCCACGGATCCTTGGAAAATAGGATACGAATGCAAAACACATTTCTGCCTGGAAAGACAATTAGCAATTTTAATGTATTTTGTAGTGAAATACTCACTCATATCTATACGGAGCTCTAGCACTAAAGTTATGAAAGTTTTAAGCATATTTTATTTTAGCTTATCTACATATGGTAATATGGTACTCAATATTTTATTGCAATGGATATCTAGATGAATGAAGTGGAGGCAAATGCCATCATCTCTTTCATAAAATTCTACCTCTGATCCTTCTCCAAAATAAACCGTTTCTTCCCTTCTCCTCTGTCCATCACGCGTGTTAAAAGTGCATGTTAACCTTATTTCATCACCTTGACGCAAGAAAAATGTTAAAAAAGAGTACAATATCATTATTTGATTAATGTATTGTAGGCCTAGGGATAAGCTTCCCTTTGTAGTACTGACATACCCCGGTAATATCTTTAATGATTGAAACATTGACTGTTTTACATGTAGCTCATGTCAATTTAATGACTAGAGGTACTGTAGATGACCGAAATACCCCCCGCCTCCCATATGGTTATAACTGGTGAAAAATATCTTTATTAATTGAAACATTGACTGTTTTACATGTAGCCCATGTCATTTTAATGAATTTGTTTATAAAGGTTTTTGACAATGGGTCCGTCTAAAAGTTAATCGATTTGAATAACAATGTATCTAAGTTTAATGTAAATGAAATATAATATTATTATAACTTCAACATTTCAAAACATTCATGAAAAAATATAATTCGACAACAGGAATTTTACATTTCAAGAATGAAATTTCAGTTATCTCTCTTTGTGTGTAAATTGTGAATGTGACTGGCACTTACTAGGCAAAACTTCTATAGGCATGTGATGATCATGGATCGGAGATTTATCATATGTGTATTCTTCATCTTTTGCAATAAGAGTATGAAAGCTTCCATTTCTGCATATCTCGAGTCTTCCTTTTATACCTACAACAAACAAGCAGAGACTGTACAGAATTTCCACAAGTTGCCTTGTTAAGAAACTTCTCTATACCTGCACACTGAAGAGTTCTAATTTCATGATACATGTCTTTTATTTAATAACAAAAAGTTACAGTATCATGCATTTAAATCTAAAATAAGAACATGTACATTTAATTTTTTTTTAAAAAGGTACAAAAATGTGTACATAGTAGGTCCTTAATGGGAGTTAAAATCGAAACATACTATGGTAGCTTCAGAGACCTAGATAATGCATATGGATGTATGTTCTTGTGAGATAAATCGGATGTGGAAATATTCGGGTACACTGGCGACTGCAGCTCCCCCTGACGATGGTTTCTGATAATGGTGGTATCGAAATATCGTTCTGGCCGATCTGGATATTCCCAAGATCATGTTTCCTTAGGCGAGTTGTGTAATAAATTCGAAATCCACTGTCATCTGGAAAAGAAACACCTTCATTCTGATTAAAAAATTGCTACAAGCATAAAAAACTATTAAACAAAAATTTCAACAGACAATTTCAATGAAATACATGTATACACTTAACAAAACTTCTAAGTGTTCACTCTAATAAATGTATTTATTTAAAAACTACTTTATAGAATGGTATGATATTTTCAAATTATTACAACAAATGAGTCTTCTCAACAAATTATTGAAAAAAAATCAAATATGACCGATGAAAACCAATGTTCCATGAAGAAGCTTAAAAACAATTAATTTGTACTCTGCGGCAAATGTTTGGTGTAATTAGCATCTTTTTGTGATCATTATCAAATTTTAAAAACTGGTTTCACTCAAATAAAAAACAAAACAAAACACTGGCATAATGACCATTGAGACAGAAGGGAGAGCCGTTGAAAGTTGATATGTGGATCATCCTTGCACCACGTTTTACTCCATTTTTTAAGTTTTTAATTGTCCTACTACTTTCTAAAATTAACAACCAGTATCAAAACCCATTTAAACACATTTTTCTATAGGCTGTGTGTCATTTTCACCGCCAATTTATCACAATTTTAAAGTTTTGGACAAAATTTAACAAAACCGGAAGTGATCTGGATCTTTGTTTGAGGCCAAGATGTTGCGTCACACCAGGTTAAAAGAGTGTTAAACTGACCTGAAACAGTTTTCTAAGAAACATGAAAACAAACAATTTCAATCGTATGAAAATGATTAGAAATCGGTGCTCGTGGCAGTCTAATATCATCACAAACGGTCTGAATCATCCTTAAAGCGGTGCACTTGCGAGTTAAACGTCCAAGGATATTGACCAAAAGGCATCTGTGTGATGATGCACTGCCAAATCCCAGGATCTGAATCCCATTGAACAAATTTGGGATTTTTATAAGGTATGTCACCCCCTTTCACACAATTTCAACGGTTTGAAAAGATCTAGGCAGTAGGTGTGGCAGCAGATGGGTTAATCTCCTATTCAGGGGCACATGGTATCCAACAGTAAAGGATGTTCTGCTGTAATTTGAGCCATTAGTGGTCTTACTCCACACATATTATTTTATGTAAATTTTCATTTTGAGGGTACATCATTTCCTTTACACTTTGCTAAAAAATTATGACGAGATACTTATATGAAATTTACGCAACATCGATCTGAAAATATGCATCATTAACCATGGATTAAAGAAATTATTTATTGTAAGCATTTGTTCTTTAAAATTTAAAAAATGTTAGGTGAACACTTAGAAGTTTGGTTCAGTGTAGTAATTAAGCTCAAAAGTCTATTGAAACAAAACAAATCGGGAGTGAGCAAACACGGACCTCTAAAAATTGCAGAGGTGGGATAAGGTGCCATAGAGGGGGAAACATCTCATGTCGATCGTTTACATCCCCGTTTGCACGGAAAAACCGTGGCTAGTTCAGTGTGTATATGTGTTCACCTGTTATGTTGTTCGAAACATTTTTGTTATTCCAGTGGACTTGTAAAAGCATCTTAGTAAAAGAGTTTTTCCCAAATGTTGCCCCGACATCTTCTGGCAGGCAGATAGGACCTCGTACACCCAAAGAGTACTGTGTAAGCCAAGCCCTGCACGAACCATCTACACCCCCGCATTGATGAATGGCCTAGTATACATCAACATTAATGCAAAAAAGATTTGTCAGAAATTTGAAATAAATAAAAGGTTTCTTAAAATTAAAAAGACAGAAAAAGGAGTACCTACAAATGTGCCTATACTACGTTCACATCCAAAGAGAAGCATGTGATGAACAACACCTTCGTTTCCTATAAGAGGTTCAAATGCCACGGCTTGGAAGGTCTCGTTTTCAAGTACCTTGTAGATTTAAAAAAAATCCAATATTCAAAATTTGGACCTGCATATCTCAAATATTGTTCAATCAGAAAATTATATTTAAGCTTAAAAAACATACAAGATTAAACATTTTTAATGATTTACAGATCAAAACCTGGAATTGTTGACAAGCATACGTAGTTAATTTTGGAGGAACAGATTGGGGTTTCAGCCTGATGTCCAAAATCCGAATATCTGGATGTTGAAGTGCTGGACAAGTGGCACAATACTCTCCAGGAATCAAAAGAATGAATACTACAACACTGAGAAAACGGCCCATAGCTTCCCCTCACACCTCTATGACTTTGTTCCTTTGGGGTATGTGCTGTAAGTAATTATTAAAAAAAAGATAAATTAGAAATATTTCTTAAATTTTGTACTTTTACAATTTCTTTCCAAAAGATTATTTTCTATTTTTATTCTCCTATGAGTGATATCATATATATTATGTTTCATAGCGGTTTAATCCTTTGATTATAAACATATTATCAAATAATAGCACGTTTTCTGTTATTTTTCGGAAATGTGTTAAAGATTCGTTAAAACTATAAGTGGTTTTAGCCACCTTTTAAGGACAGCGTGGGCTTTCTTAACAAACTCGTCAATTTCATCACATATGATTTCATTGACGTATAATGCCAATAATGCGCATGATGACGTCCAGCCTATTTCTAAAGAAAAAGGTCACTACCAAACTGATCAAATTAATACTGTACATGTTTTACCTCTAAAGTCCATTTCAGCAGTTTGCCACAAAGGGGACGGTCATATACTATGTTTGATTTAACGTATGAATTCACGTTATTACACAAAAAGGATTTTTGTATACAAGTGATCAGGTAATATCAAACAAAGTATGTTACTGATCCCTGTGGTTTGCCATAGGTTGTAAAAATGAAATCTGGTATAGACGTCATAAACTGCAGAAATCATAATTATATAAACAGGCCAAGAGGAACCGTAATTCCTCTTTGAAATGGCACCCTTACTCATGGAACATGAATTTGAGTGGATAATGTCAATAAGAATTTTTTTTACATCATTGTAACATCAACGTAATATCAACTTCAGAGTACGTGAACGCAGAATCAAAATGATCGTAAATTACACATTTTGATTACAGTTAATAGTTTTCACCTTTTCCAATCTTACAATTACTAAGTTCTTAAATTAAAAGATAAAAAAAAATATTCGAGTTAATTTCTTAATAAAGAAGCAGTCGATGACGTCAAAAGTATTTAGAAATAGTTGTAAGGTGAAGAAAAGTCATATGCTCAGACGTCAGTGGTAGTGAAAAAAGTTCTATACAATTTCGAAAATCAATTCTGCTTTACACCACATTATGAATATGCTATGGCACAATACATCTTAAGTTTGATCCTCAAAGTACTTAATATTTTTGTAAGGAGTTAAAAATAACAGCTTGGTAGAACGTTTACTGAAGCTAATATATACTTGATATTTGTTTATAATATAATTGTTTTTGATCACAGTATTCAAAAACAGTTATAACAGTACGGTGAATAGTATTATCCCCGTTGCTTTTAAACTGAAGCGTTAATTTTCTAGAATTTCAAAGGGTGAATTTAGGTTCGAGATATGTTTATTTTAGAATTGTTTGTTTGAAATTTTAGAACTGTTTGTTTGGAATTATTAATCAACTGAAACTAATCTTTTAACATCTAACAATTACTTTCTTACAAAGAACTTCAGAACACAAATATATCTGAAAAGGTAATTTACATAATTTTTGTAAAAGAGTCAATATATTTTAATGTTTCGTTACAAATGTTTCGTATTTTGCAGTAAAATTAACCTTTTGGTTCAATATCAGAAATACAACATCCTTTAAACGGGATCGGTGAAAATATCTTAGCTTTTCAGATGTGGAATTCAAGCCAAGTTCCTCTAAAATATAAGAGTGAAAATAATCGTTCATACAAAGCCGATATTATCAAAATCATCTTCATGTGGAACATTTATTGTTCATGTTGTCTTTCCAATTCTTATACCATTTCGAATTCAATAAAATTAAAAAAAAATTTTCATAATTTTATATTTTTTCAGAACATTGTGAAACATGGAAAAATATAACTTAAAGGCAGAGATTTTTTTCAAAAATACCTGGTCTTGGTAGCCCTGTCAATCAAGTTTGAATTTTGAATGTGGAACTTGAACAAAATGATCTCTGTGTATACCCTGTACACCTTGTTTGGGACTCGTGGTGACCTTCTAATTAACTTTTGATCCTTTGATGTTTACTGAACATTGTATACAGAAACTATATTTCTATGAAAATTTTTAGATTGATAATATATGGAATAAATTTATTATTTGAAAGGATTATAATATAATTTACATTTTTTTTTAAATTAACCTTTGGCACATAGTTTGTTTTTTTTCAAATGAAATTCCGATATTAATTTTAATATGCGAAATCATTATGGTAAACCTCAAGTGGAAATGTTATTGATAAAGTTCAGAGCAGCACTAAGTGAAGTATTTAAATTTTGAAATAATGTTTCTAATCATGGATCACTTATATTTTCCTTTTTTAATCAGATAAAAATTTACAAGCAGTCTTTTTAGCATGTTTCATGGTGAAAAAACTTTATCAAGTAAGGTTAGGATAGAGATATTTTTTTTTGTGAAATATAGATAACACAACTCTTTTTATTTAATTAATAGAGAGAATCCTGTGGATGAATAAATTTTAAAAGTCGAATTGGGTTGTTATGAGAGTTTTATTAAATTTATTAATTAACACATACACTCAAATCTAAAATAATCTTTGTTTTAATAATTGAATTTATAGTAATTATATCATATTTTTTTAAATGGTTGTGTTTTCAAAAAGTCATAATTGAAAAACCCTTTTTACTAATTTTAAAATAAAATCCCCAACACAAAAGTTTTAGATTGACACTTGGGGTAATGTGTATTGAATCACTTCCTGTGTATAGGGATTAAGAGACAGATGACCAGAGGTAGACTGCTAGGCCCCAAGGCATTCACACCTGGAAAATTATAAAAAATCTCTGCCTTTAATACAAATATTCATATTCTCCAAAATAACTTTACTAAATTAAAACTTTAAATACAGCAAATGAAAACGAAAGCTTTTCATTGTAGGATGATCCTGATGAAGACCCCAAAGAAATCAAGATCTCCCACCTTCATCTACAGTGTATGATTATTATTCTAAATCAATTTATTTGAAGAATTTTTAAATTTTGATTCATATAGATATGCTATGCCACACGATATTATTGTGCATTATGAAAATATTCAAATTCCAATAATTTTTATAACAAAAACAATTTCTCACTAGACCTCTGGAATTGCAAATGTACCATTTAAAAAATGATATAGCATGATATAAGAAGCAAAGAATATAATAATTATTAGCTTATCAGAACTAATCAACGATTGTTCATGCATTTCGTTTTTGAAAAAGAAAAATATTAACGGATTTTTTTTTTGTATTTTCTTAACTTGCTTTAATTCCTTAATTGAAGATGTATATTATTTTAACAATCAATCATTAAACACCTGTAAATAAAAAAAAATAACAATGAGAATCAAACAATACAAATCTGTAAATAGGGTATAAACACGAAATTCCAGAAGTGGGATTAGGTGCCTTAGAGGAGTTAGCATCTCCTACTGTCTTATCACACTCGTCTTGAGAGCTTAGTATCGCTCAAATAGACAAAAAATACCGTCAATTTTAGAAACAAAAGCCTAGCCATTTGTAAGAAACAAGTACTAGTAAGTAAAAATAAGAACAAATGTTAGGTTATATTTGCTTAAAGGGTCATTATAACGACTGTACAAAATAAATAGTACTCAGGGCATGCTCTCGAGTGACGCAGTTGTGAAACAAACATTATTTGGAGGTGACAGCGGTACATTACTAAATTAATGTTGATGACGGAAATGGTGAAGTCATCTCGTTCGTCGTACAATTTAGTTTAGTTACTTTGTAATTACTATCGTCTCCAGTCAGGAAATCATCCAAATTTGAATCACAATTTACTAGTAAATGGCAAAATTTTATTGCAGAAATGTTTGAAGTCTTAAAGGTTTAAAAGGTTATTTAATCTTTCACTCAAGATTAGAGAATGATTCATTAATGCTGTTGAAACATGTATTGTCAACTTTCATCACATAAAATCTTCAGGAGATCATCTTTAATTACGTGTTTTTAATAGAAACAGACTTACCAAATGACTCCGATAAAAACGTGTACACATTGACACCACCAGAGATAAGGTATGACTAACCATTGTCTTGTTTATCAACCAAATGGAGCCTTTTAAATTCCGGAAAAGGTTTCTTCTATTTCATGGCAAATTTGTGTGCAAATAAAACAGTTTTTTTCCTAGTATTAAACAAAAATTCTGCATTTTTCTCCAATTTTTCTTTATTTCAAATTGTTGTTTTCATTTGCCATAACAACATAACAAAATATAATAATCAACGTGTATAGTGGATTTCATTCTCTCATGTTCTACAATACATGAAAATAATGAAAATAGTGTTCAAAAATGTACATTAAACATTGCACCTATGCAGGGCAATTCAATACTGCTAAAAAAAAACTTGAATGATGATCAGGAAAGAATATCATAGTACAAGAGATTATACTTAAGACATGTGTACTTATCGTGCATCTATCACAGTTTCATTATTTTGTAGAAAATGTACATAATGTACATTTCATCTACTGCAACATCTTCAAACCTCTTGGGACATGTAAACAATGTACAATTCCTCTATTGCAATATCTGCAAACATCTTGGGACAATGGATAATACAGAAATGTTACCAAGTGCATGGATACACAGATAAATATATGATTTTGCAAGTTGGTGTGCACAACAACAAAAACAAAAAAAAATGCTTGTAATGGGAAAAGTGAATAAAACAATTAGTGTAAAATGATGAAATGCTTTCAAATAGATCTCCGATAATCAAAAATTGGATTGTTTTCTGCAACGAAAAAATCTACTACTGAACTGTAACCATTATTAGAAGTAAGATTAATAGATATTTACAGTCGTACAAAACATGACAAGCAAAGAATTGTTAACATTTAACACAACTTTAACAACAATCGAAATAATATTTGTATAAACAAAAATATCACGTAATATATACATGCTTATTGTTACATTTGTTTAAAAATTTTGACTTATTACTCATAGTATAAATTAAGTATAAATTCAGTTCACAAAGTTTTTACAGCAGACAAGCATTATATACATGTAATGGACGTTTTTAAAAAACTCTCATATTACTGTAGATCACTAAATTTTCGCGACACCTTATTTTCGCGAGATAGTCTTTGACTCTTTAATAGCGAGACATAATTTTCACGCATTGTTGTTATTTCTCTATATAATCTTAAGGAATACTTTATACGCAATAATGAAATTTTCGCAAGCTCACTGTCTCGCGTAATTACGCGAAAATAAAGCTCTCGCGAATAAGAAGTGATTTACAGTATCATATTGTCAAAGAAAATCTCAGTCAAACATATATCAATGCTTGAGACTTCTACGTCTGAACATAACCAAAAATGAAAACGCATATGAGAAAAACATATAGAAAAATAATGTAATAAAAAAAGAAAAATAGTGTGAAACAATTTGATAATGTATCATACAGCTTGAAAGCTTCTATAGAATATATACAATTTTTATTACTTATGTCATGGGAAGAGTCCTTTGATCATCATGTGTACCACATGTTTATAAAACGTAATTGATTACTAGTATCAGAAAATGATTTTCTTAGGAAAGCAGTAATTTCAAAATCATCAGACAGGAGATAATTTGAAAATTAAAATTTAAAGGTTCTATGTCAAAAAAAGAAACCCAAAACAGCATCGCAATTTTGCAGGTAAACATGTTTTCCTTCATTGGATTCATCTAGTGCAAAGTTCTTTTAATAATTAGCTTTCACATAAGCAAATTCCATCAATGCCTATTCGATTTGAAAAAAAAACCCTTATATTTCAAGAGGATATTTTTTTCACTAAACGCAATAAAATATGAGTAATCAAAAATGAGATATTTTTTTTCATTTTGAATCATCTCTGCCTCTGATCGATGTTATTTCAGCCACAGCTCTGCAACTAGCTGGTCTTAAAAAGTTGGAATGGAAAATTAGATAGGAACTCATGGATTGTAATATTTTGACCCATTAATCGAAAAACAGTCCTTATTTGTTTCACGTACTAATGGTTATCCAAAAAAAATGGTATGATTGTACACATGGATAAAGGGGTAAGTCAAATAATTTTTTTTTTTTAAATCAGACAGCATTATGCTTATACAAATCATTCAAAATAAAGAAAATAAGAAGTACAATGTACTTGTATAAATGGAATTAAATTACTTAAAAGTATAATATTATTCATATTATTCACATTGAAAGTTGCTATAGAAACTTAATAAAACAAGAATTTCTTTGAAACCCCACATGTGCTATAGTAAGAATGCATTTCTTGAGAATACAAATCTATCTTGAATGGTACATCAAGTGATTTGTATGTAACAAAGTACATTTATCAACATGTACGATTGAGAACGTGAAATGCATCTTAACTTTATTTTTATCAAACTTAATTTCAAGTTCGTTATTTACTTTAAAGCACACAATTACATCACATAAACAACTTCGAGTGTTCAAGAGTTTAAATTACAGTTTTAAACTGAAAATATATTTTTGGTATACAACATTTATTTTTTTAGTACTGGCATACATATCAGTAAAATCAAGATTTTTGATATACAATACTTGTTGCCTGTATGTATGGTAGATGAGAACTGTTCAATATGTCGATATAGAAACAAGCTGAATCTGGACAGTACAACTGATACATTATTATCCGTTATACTGAACACAAAGTTGTAAATAAATCCTCCTTTTGTGTAAAAATACCATACATATGAGGCAATGATAAACACACATTTCTATACAATTATACAGCGAAAAACAACGGAATCGTGACTTAGAAAGTATGTATGGACGTAATTTTGCGAAATGTAATTTTTTACAAAGAGAAATCAGTCGTTCCTTTCTTTAATACCCCTGCTGAAAAATCTTCTAGAATAACTTGGTATTCTTCATCAGTGACATTGGTACCTGGCAATTGTTTTATAAATGAACATAGATTTCTATTGCTTAAGTACGAGTGCAGGTGTCATCGCACCATGTGCTTAGTTCCTCTTTGATGACGCAACCAGGACTGTTCGAATTTTCACTGCTAACGTCATTTTCTGTGGTCTTCTCACTTGTGTTCTCGGATTCCCATTTTACTAGTTTTTCACGAATGTCATCTGTTATAACACCGCCATCAACCTCTGAACAGTGGTGCTTATACTACAAAATAGTTATACATCATAAAAAAACATTCTTTAACCAATCCTTACTGGCAAAAGCCAATGTCGTCATTGATAAAGAAAATGACGTGTTATGTCGTCATTAATAAAGATAACGAAGCTTAAGAATTTTTTTAAAACGTATTTCTGTATAACTCTCAAATTGCATGACGGTGAACACCATTTTCATTTGGATGCTTATACTACTTTCATCAAACACCCCAACTTGAAGTTGCGAGTAAAAAGAAAGAATTCTCAATTTCATAGATTTATTAACAAATGCAACAGAATAGCAATAAATAAATATATTAAAATATATCAATATGCCCTAACTATTATAATTAAATTCATCATAACATAACAAATTTAACATAACAATATTCACTGAGTCATTTTTAACACCACAAAATCCTACACAACGTACAGTAAAAATTTGAAAATTGTTTTCATTATCCTAATGTAGGAATTAAGCCATGCCCGCATGGATTATAGCAATTTTAGTGAAGGTGCAATCCACGCAATATATCAAATTGCACAAATTGCCAGCAAATAACCTTAATAAATAATTGAGCTAATACACATTTACCACGTCTTTTTGTGAAAATGGTGTTAATAAAAAATATCGATTATTTTATGTGCGTAAGTAACAGCAAGTTTGATACCGATTTCGTGAATTGAATCCCCTCCCCTGCAGTCAATTTGACTTACACCATGACGTCATGTAGATTATCATTTTGTATTGTTTTTAATTTTAGCATTAAGAGCCAAGTAAAATAAGATCGCTGCCTGTCTTGAAGATAAAACACCTCCATAGTTTTTTCATCAATATTAAAACTATACACATTGACGCTTACGTGACTAGACAATACTGAATTCGTTACCGGTTAATTAAACATATTTGATGTTTATAATAATAGTAAGCAGTGGACACAGAGACTATAGTACCCAGACTTAAATATTTTCACAAACATATTTCACTAAATAAAACGCTAAATTTTTACAAAATCTAATATGAAATACAGACGATCTTATTCTAATTAATAATCTACATCTAATTTTCTTACAAGCATTACTGCTTTAACATGAACATAAAGTCTCATTAGAAAAGCATAAATATTTGTATCCAATAATTACATTAAAAAAAGATTAATACAAATTAAACATAATCCAAATAAATTACAGTTTGATATATCACCATCTTAAATACATGTGTACATGATTCTTAATACACCACTCCCAACCTCAGACAATATTATTTTATCAATATTATCAACATCTAGTCCTATCAGATACCTTAATAAAATTTCATCCACTCTATTCTTAGTATAAATTAGTCACGCAGCTATACAATTAAATGAAGCTCATTGACCACATCGCTCATCTGAGTTACTATGGCCCCGTTCTTTTTGATTAGCAGGGTTTTTCCTATATATTACATGTTGTGCTTTTTTTCATCGCAGGGGCTTTTGAACTTAACTTGAAACTACACTACCAGAGGATGCCTCTTTTTGATTTTATTTGTGTTCTTGATCTTTGAACTGAAAAAAATTGAAGCATCACTACATGAGGATGCTTCAATATAAATATGACTAAGTGCATATAAGGGTTTGACATGGCTTTGAATTTGAAAAATGCTTCCTCTATATTCCTAAGAAAGACATCTGTTTGTGTGGCTCCATCGTCACAGAAAGGAATTATATGAAGAAATTTGAACCTAGATTATGTACATATACTAAAGGTTTCAATGAAGTCTGGTCAAGTGGTTATAGAGAAGTGGTCCTTCATTTGATTAAATTTAAATCCCTTTACTCATGGGTGATTTATGGCATAAAATATGAAATTGCCACAGTGGTTCTTGAGAGGAAGTAAATAATGGTGAACAGTTTACAGAAGACACACGACTGACAACATACAGACACCCCTTGATCAGAAAAGCTCAAATGTGCCTTTGGTTCAGATGAGCTACAAAATGGAGTGTTGAACAAAAACAGTTGAAATTTCCCTCACTGGGCAGTTATTCCCATGTCAACAACGGATTTCAATTCAGACTGTTTCCTCTTAGAATTTAGACTCTAATAATGAGCACAAAATTTCCATTTCATATTGAATTGAATCGGCCTGGATGATTCACATATTCAATATTTATATTAATTTAACAGATTAGTAAGCACTATGAGGTACATCGTTGCTAGTAAATTGTTCATTTTCACAATCCTTCAACATTCATTTCTTCCAGAATCGTAGGAAGCACAGGAGTGTTGGGTACCATAGAATCGGAAGGAATCCTGACCATAGTCCCGCTTCCTGATGTTTTTACGAAGGGTTTCGAGAATCCAGAGTCCATGAACGCCTCGTCTCCTATGTCAAGGGGTGCACAGGAATCCCGAAGCAGAGACAAATAGGACATGTTTCCCCCCGATTTGCTCATCAAGCTCTGCGACATAGCTGGAGCCACTGGATTTCCACAAGTCACTTGATTTGCTAGAGTTGTAGAGCTGGTAAAAACTGGTGAAATGGAATCGAAGGGATCGGATACAAATGTGCTGGTTGTATTAGGAATGTGGTTCTCAAATTCGTTTTGAACAGGATTAGACCGATGGTTGGTCATTTCCAGCTGTCTGTTCAGAAATGTCTCTTTTCCTACCTGCGCTTGAAGAGGATAATGCTGAGTTTCCGACACCGGATTTATAAAATTTGAGTAAGTTACATTGCATTCCCCCGCTGCATGGTTATATAATGGGTACTGATCTATTGGGGAGTTTCCAGTGGTTGGTACTCCGCTGAAACATCCTACCACATCTTGGTCATCATGTTGGTATACGTCTTGCAGTCCTTGATGGCTACTTGGTGTGTTCGCGATGACATCAGGTGTGGACATTGGATTAAATGAGTTGCTAGAGATTTCCACATTTGTCATCGCCTTTGCAAGTTCTTTCAATAATTGCTCTGGAAGTTTTCCTTGGTCAAGATCAACGCAGTACTGTTTGTACTAAAGACAGTAAATAATAAAGAGATATAGCCTTTGTTATGTTTCACATCTTAGCACTAAACGTCTTGGGTTAAAATATAATATGGAGATGATATCATACGGCTTAAATGAGTAATTTTCAGTCTATAGGTAACCTCATACTCAATTGTTACACGCTGCACAAGATCGACAACTCCTGCAGCTCTACAGACTTGTAACTTTTTTATTGCCTCCCTTAACAGATTTACCACGGGTCTTTCTTTTAATATTCCACTTTAATAGAATTTTTTCCTGCACTAATGATTCGGTCATTTTTTTTTTCAATTTGCTCTCAGTTTTGCCCCGTTTCATTTTTATTTCCTTTCTTGAGACCATTCTATTAGCTTAAAAAACCATAAGACCACTGAAATGAATTTTTGTACTCAGTATAATAGGACTTAACAGTGTAAAAAAAAATATAAAATTTACAGAAAATATCATTTATGACGTAAGAAATGCAAATTCAACAGAAAACAATTTGAGATTCAATATAATGTTAAGAACCGCATAGATCAATAAATTTGCCGTATGTTTAATGGGTCATCTGTATAATGTAAACAGCTGTAAATAAATATAATTATGGATATTCGAGGTTGTTCACCTTTTATTGACACGAATTAGACAATAACTTTTAACAATGATAAATAACGCTCATTAAGAACGGTCAATGTCGACTTCAAACTGAATGGTCTCAGTATCAGTTCAACTGTTCGGACGGTCGATAACCTTTCGTTTTCTAGAACATTCCAAAATGTGTTACATGGGCACCCAGACGACTTAGTGCTAAAAGGTTAAACTGTTTTTCCTCATTGACTACAATAACAGGGCGGATCCAAGTCTATCACAATGCATGTATTTTTCAAAGAGTACATGCAGTGTAAAACAAGGGGGAAAATCGCGAAAAGTAGAATGGAAATGTACGAGGTATATCAAAAGTTTCGCTTTTTTTATAACACATTGGCGACGTTTCCGCTTTGCGCCTAGTGTAAACATAAAAAAATGGGAAATAACTTTTGATACAGATCAACACAATTGAATCTTTTTAACAAAGATTTCTGTTGATAGAAAGTTATAAATTTCTATCATCATCATTCCGATTGATTTGAAAAACGATCTTTTCAAATACAGCAGGGATCTTATCAATAAGTGCATTTTCTTTAGAAAAATGAGAAGAAATTATGCGGTAAGAAAAACTGCTAATTGAGCAGTGATATAATGTTAACTTAAAAAATAAAACAAATATGCTATTGATAACTCGAAAAAAATTTCAGTTCATGGTTTAAATAAAACCTAGTATACTATACATGTATTGGTGGTGGACATGAAAGGCATCTTGGCTTCCAAATGTGCCCCCTACCCACCAGTTGTCTGAGAAGGTACCGATTATAGAATATGGTTGTATAATACTATGCATCCAGAGATGGAATATTTCCTTTTAAGTGGTAACTAAATATGGTAAAAATCTATAAAATTCTCTATGGTCAGATATTTTGGGACATCTTAAACAAAAACTATAATGATTTTGAAGATAATATCCCTGTACATGAAGCCCATTTTACTGAGGGTTACAATTAAATGGGGAAAAAAAATAAAAAATTTTCGTGGCTCATACCTAGTACCTCAACATTAATGTCAATAAAAATGTGACATTAAATTATCTAACTCTACAAAATACATAACAAAACATCTGGAACATTGAAGAGCTCTTCAGTATATTAATTTGGATATATCCCCATCATTTCAGAACTATAAAACTATTTGGTTCCAAACCATTCCTTTCATAAGCTGCCATTAATGTTTACGTTTTGTTTACACGAGGCAGATTACTTTTGTCATAACGCTGATAGTTCCCTCTTCATAAACCTATTGGATCCGCCACTGTAGAATGATGTTTTGTTTACAGCAATTTTTGCATCATTGAACAGTGTGCCCTGTTGACTAATTCAATTTTGCTTCTGTTCCGAGCAAATATTGAATCCAGAGGAAAAAAAAGTATTTGAAATTCACATTGTATCCCTTAGCTTAGCTAGTCTACTCTTAAATAAAAGGGCATGCAGCATGTCAGAGCCGTGCAGTGGGTGTAGCCATAAAGAGAGGTGCCTCACGATACATAAATATATACATATGTAATAACCATATAATAGTAACTAATAACTACATAATAGTACCTAATAACTATATAACTGTACCTAATAACAATATATTAACACTTTCAGATATCCTTGTTTGTAAGTTTGTAACCATGTGTCCACTTGTCTTGTGATATACATGTCAGTCACACCTCACCATCTGCACTTAAACTCTACCTTATAACACTTAAGTTACTACTTACCAATTCCAGCTCTTCTCTAAGTTTAAATATGGCTTGTTCTCTGTTGCTGACCAAGTCCTCTAGATATTGGTATCTCAGCTTCTTTCGTGCACGGCACTCACGTGCACTCTGTCGACTCCTTTCTAGTTTCACTTTCACATCTACTTTATTGCCACGCCTTCCCGGTCTACCCCTCCCGTTCCGCCTCTGGGGTCTGTCTGTTGACATCTTTTTCATATCCTAGTTATAGATGAAAAAATTCTTATAACATAAACTTTTTTTCAAATTTCAAATACAAAAATGTAATAATAATATTTGATATGCCACGGCTGATATTTGTATTACAATATTCTTTATTTAAAAAAAAAATTATTATTATACTAGAGAATTCTTTGTTCTATAATTTTTTTAAAATATAAAATTACCATTTAGCAATGATATAAATTCCTTATAAAGATCTATTTCACTTAGAGTTCTTTTCCTGCCTAATAAATGCACCGTTTCACAGTCGACGTACAGAAGGTCCGACTCCTACGACGGTTTAGCACAAATAATAACCGTCAACTCTTGTTGACTGCCATATATTTTAAAAACATTAATTAGGTACATTAAAGTAATGACACGTGATTGTATCTAATTATTACATCTATTCACGTGACAAAAGAAAAACAACAACACGTGTGAGAGAATATTCTAGAACGTTGCCCTAAATTTAATTCAAAAACATGTTATTGGGGTCATGTCAATATTACGAAAATAAACAAAAAAAAAATATTCAAACATGTTCCCTTTGTTTAAGTATTATTTCGAGCTGACAGAGATCACACATTCCAACTCTCGGGTAAGATTCCATGTACCCATCACCACCCCTCCTGTCGATTTTTTTTCTTTTTCTCATAAAAATATTTCAGAACATAATTTCAATAAACATACCAATAATAAATTATTCAAAATAAATGTCGATTATTTTTTTTCACGGAAGTTACCAAAATACAAGAATTCATGTAGCTATCAAACTCTTGCGCAATCTCTGTTGTGATACGATTCAAAGCAAATTAAGATCCTACCTTAAACCTCAGAACGAATTATTTAACAAAATCCGTTACCACAGCACGATTTAACATTACAATATACATCCATAGAATGAAAGAAACAACCGTTTCTCTGTTAAAAAGCCTTATTCAAAACGTACGGATTCCACGATAACTTGAATGTTTGTAAACAAAAATCAGCTGTTTTACTGCGCAGTGGGCTGATGAATGGAATGTTTGCCCCGATAACAAATGAACTTTACTTACTAAGTCCTCCGTGGGTTGAATATGATTTAAGTTTTCCTCACTCATTCAGATCTTTTTCACTAGAGCACCAAAAACAAAGTGACTCAATTTCTCACTGACATTATTTTTCATCTGAGTTTGCACTCGACACTATCTATGAACCGAAGGCATTGACTGGTTAATCATAACAAGTAGACTATTTTTAGAACTGTCGCTGTGACGTCAAATTGTTGTTTTCTCAATCGAGATTGTTCTTGTGCAGGCTGGATTTTGACCTTGATCACGATGACGCTTTCACACATTGATAGAATGTGCATTAACAATTTAGAGGTATGTTGTTTTTGTTGATGTTTATTTTTTTTTTATGAATCACTCCCGATTTTATAAGAGGGGGTGTAGATATATATTTAATGGATTGTAGTTAATCAATAAAGTAATACAAATATAAAAAGAGGGGGGGGGATTAAGAATTGGATGTCAACCGTCGTATATTGGCTCATATTTCATATATTTCACCTTTTAAAAGACATGGCTTCACTGTATGATAAGAAAAAAATATTTTATTTGAAATCAATTATTGATAATTAATATGTCATTATATTTATTCATTTAATAATTTCTCAGCGTTTAAGAGACATTAATTTTTCTTCTTCTTTTCATGCGGTAAATAAAAAGGAATGTTTTTAATGAAACATTTTTTCTTAATCCTCAATTAAATACTTTACAGGTCACATGAACCAAAGTCAAGACGATTTTTAAAGGCCTCACTGACAAGTATAGGAACAGGGATATCCCTGGCCTTGCCAGGGAAACAGGCTTCACTAGGCGTATGGCCTGTACATATTTCTTGACCAGTGGCCGTTCATCAATGAAACGTACTGTGAAGTACATATCATTAATACAATGATTACTCTGTTTAATCCTTCATTTAATGATTATTTATACAGATATAAATATAAACAATAAAATGACTTTCGTTGGTTTTTAATAAGGGAATTAACGTCATAGCCGTTGCAGAAAAAAAAATACTTACCTATATATGTATTTTTTGCAACAGCTGTGAAATTAATTTCCGTACTAACAACCAGCAGGGCCAGAAAGCATTCTATTGTTTATTGTGGCATTTCTTTGATCTCGGCAATAACTGTAGTAGAATTGCATTAAAATTGCTATGTCTATTAAAAAGTTGGAAAAAGAATGGTACTCCCGTAAAGATTTTACACGTGCGCTCTTTTTATCATTTATGAAGTGCGAACAATTTGCAAAATTAATCTGGAATTTCACTCATGCTCAGACATGCTGATATCATTTATACATTTATTTTTTTTTTGTTGAATTTTTTTAATAGTGTTTTATATGTCTTTCATACAGGATACAGTATTCTACGTGCAAGTATTGAAAAAATTGGCACGTGACAATTACTTTATTTACCTACTCGTACTTACATGTACTTATGTAAAATTATTGTTAATCTTGTGTCCACTTATGTTTATAAGGCTTTATCTCATAATGGTAAGTTAACCTGCATCAAATAAAAAATATGCATACACATCTTAAATACGTTCAGGAAATATGAGTTAATCTCTCTTACTGTAGCCGTTACTTCCAAAAGAAAGAAAAATGACAAGAAAAATTAGAAAATATATTGTTAGTCATTTTTCTTTCTGTAGAAGTATGAGAGATTAAAATGTTTTTTTTTAATCATAAATTCGAAATTGTGGTTTCTTTTCAATTAGCAAAATTTAAAAACATCTATTGACATACAAAGTTAACTAACCTTAATTCTGATACTATCGATATAAAAAAGAAAGAAAAATAGAGGTACCTCAATAAGGAAAATAAAACTGGATACTTGTTCCTTTTTTTCTTGCATCTCGAACTTTTCACAAGCCTATCCTTTATTAGAAATAGACTCGATCAGTAATCACCATTTTATTACACATGCATCCGATGAGGTGACGTCAGTAAAGGAATTTGATTATTTTTTGCTATCAATGAATGAGGTATTGTACATCTTCCATTAATTTTTACTTTAATTCCATTGTAGGAACGATTTCTATTTCTGGACATATTTCAATGACTGTGCCCCAGGGGGGCCTGATTGGTAAATGAACAAACTACATAATTAAATAGGCTACAACTAAATAGGTTCATACACCTACAATGACTACAAAGATGAATAGTTAGGAGAGAGAGGGAGAGAGAGAGAGAGATAATTGTGTCCCTGTGTATGACCTAGTCCTTGAAAAGGAAGAACCTTATAATTAATTTGAAAGAAAATAGTTTTCCTTATTCGTATGTATGCTTTCATATCAAATGATGAATTAGCTAGCCTACGACGTGTTCTTTATTGTTGTATTCTGATTACATGGAGGGAATGGATTAATGATCTCTACGTTTATTGCAGCACATACACAAGTTGATTCAAATGCATGGCAGCCGTGTTCGCGTGATCAAAACCAGGTAAGTGGAATTGTTAATTCTCACGTGAGTTAAAAGTATTCTAATCATGATTAATAATTATAAAGACGAAATGTATCATCATAAAGCGTAATCAAAAGCAACTCCTTCACGGAAGTAATGCAGATTAACGTTTACAGAATAATGCACTAACTCTTATTTATAAATATTGAACTTTTCTAGAGGACAGATCGTAATAGCATATTGTCAACATTTCAAAGAATAAGAAGACGTTTACAGTAACTAGTGATTTCTAGACCTTTTTCAAATTAAAGCAGTAACGACTTATAGCTTCTCATTTATGAATAACCATGCGCTTCACCTTTTTTCTCATCTGTCACAGAATTATTCCTTGTGTAAAGGATTGGCTTCTTATAGTTAATAACTAGATATTTATAAAATAAAGTGTTAATTGTTAGCACTGTTCCATTCCAAATTAATGACAATATAAAAGGAACAAATATAATTCCCATAAACTACAGAATTGTGAAAGCTACCCAAGCAGACGAAGGGCATTTATTCCATCTATGAAGCTGATGTACATATAACTCTATAATATTGCACATGATAACGTATGTGTATACAGTATATATATTGTAGCATTGATATACTTATTCAGTATATATATCGAAACATGTGAGAGTATATTGCTCTTAATATTTGACCTTGAGGCCATTGTGGGGGCACACCATAAGAAAAAAAAGGTATTGACATTATAGAGGGGACCCTCTCCCTTCCCCTGGCCAAAAAAAAACTCTGAACAGCAGCAAAATAAAATTGACTCATCAGCCAGGTAAGCGGTGTGGTCCATGGGCTTCTTATTTAGCATCTCGTCTACGAGGACCATCAACCCCTTCACTTCATATAAAGTGACTCATTTCAAAGGACAAGGTAGGGTAACCATAGAGGAGTAAGCATTTCATATCGACCGGTCCAACACGCCTTGAGTCGTATATTTTGATCGGATAAACAAATTAAAAAAAATATAGTATCAAATTGAATAAAATTTCCTAACAATTTGTATCAAAACACCAGATAACATGCAGTCGAGATGTATGAACCCCTGAGAGCTACAGTGCCACCAAATTAAAAGGTGTTCATTTATGTACGCTGTTTCTAAATTTAGTTCTCTGTACTTTCATGAAAACATCTTACGATTCATGTGTTTCTATAATTCTTACCCACAAAAATGCATTATATTAATTATTTCCACTGTGGACTTTTATTTTAAGCACATGCACATGTACTCAGGAATGCATCTGATATTGTAGTTCTAATTCATTAAAAAAATGAAACATAAAAAACCTGGTGTTCTGGACATTGATAACCTTTAATACACTGGTGCTTGAAATAAGCATAGTAAATAGTTGTGGAAGTCTTAAAAATTATTTTTTTATAATTGGTACTTAGTACTACTCTCGTTGAAGCACCCCGACCTAACCGGTCATATGAGGGTCAACTTTAATCTTAATTAGCCCAGGTTAACATCAGAAAACATCATGGATTACTGGCAGAAAAACCCAAATACACCATGCAGCAAGAAAATGAATAAAACCTAAGCAACAAGAAGATTCAAGCAACAGAGTTCACTGTACCTCACAAACTTGAGGATATAATGACTCAGATAGCAGTAGTGGGAAGGTAATATTATATAGGGCAGTGCCCAGTGTACAAAGTAATGATAGTACACTCCAGAAACTGTCATTGACCCGTCACATGAAAATACTAGTTTTGGCAAATGAGCAATAGTGCCGAAGATGAATGCTTACCAGTGCATTTGATGATCAAATTGCAATTTGTTGGGACTCCAGCGGCTTCTGTTCAAGAACTGAGGTGAAGAAAATGGAACCTATACTCAACAAAGAGAAGCTGATGGTGAATTTGATTAACTTAGGAAGGAAAACGAATTTGTAGAAAAGGAATAAGGCACAGATAAAGCAAATTGAACATGGCCATAACATTAATAAAAATTAAAACAACAGATCTAGGATGATATTGAGAAACTAAAAGAAATGATTCAACTGCTTATCACCATAGTCAGTGTCATAGCACAAGGAAAAAGATCAGAACAGATGAGCACAACACAGGATGAGTAAACCATGTGATAGATATCAAACATAGTCCAGCAGAGGAAAGTGCAGAACGCAAAATTTATGGAACGCCTGGACTTTTTTATCATGACAAAATTAAATATATGATATGCATTTATCATTTTGTGATGTGCTTTTGTCAGTATGTGGTGTACATGTGTCATTATGAGGTGCACTTTTGTCATTAATTGATGTGCTTTTATCAATATGTGATGTGCATTTGTCATCATGTGATGTCCATTTGTAAATATATGATATGCTTTTATTATTTTAAAAGTGAATGTGCTTTTATCATTTTGTGATGTGCTTTTATCATTTTGTGATGTTATTTTGTCATTATGTTGTGTGATTTATTCATAATGTGGCGTGCATTTATCATTATGTAAAGTTCATGTTTCATTAGATCGTGAACTTTCACAAGCCATTACGTCGTGTTCAAAAGTTTTCATGCATGGTGCAAACATCTTTACGTGATGTGCAAATTTTATCGCGATGAAAACGTTTTCCTTCTACACTTAATTTGCAATAGATGATAAAAAATTCAAACATAGATAAATCATTTGGAAAAAAAATCCTCTTATTCGAAAATTTAACTGCAAGGACTTGGTATCACTTTTTCCAAACACAACTTCTTACTATTGAACATGTTCATTGATAGGTCGCCCCCTCTCAACACTTACCCCTAAGGGAAATGTAGTATTTCGTGAAAAAAATTGGTACTGAGAGAAATTTGACCCCCTCCCCCTCCACGAAATAAATTATTATTTAGTTTGGCAAATTTGCAACCCCCTTTTTGCTGGTGAACTTTTTTCAGTAAATTCTGTCTTTTTTCTTGGCTGTCACCCCCCCCCCCCCCCCCCCCCCCACTGCACACACAATTTCCTTGAATTTAATTTTTTTTTAATTCATTTTTATTTTTTATAGTTTAGAAGTTTTTTCACATTTGTTTACGATATTTTTTCTAATATTTGTCAAATCAATTCTAGGATTTTTTTTGCTTTGGTAGGATGGAACTCTGAACTAAGTCAACGTTATCTAAAAGTTAAAACTTGCACAGCAAGTACAGATGTTTGCATCACATATAAAGACTTTTGAACACGACATCATGGCTATTAAAAGTACGTGATCTTATGAAATATGCACATAACATACATGTAATGACAAATGCACATCATATAATGGTAATATCAAATCGCATTATGACAAATACACATCAAATAATGACAAAAACACATCACTAAAGACAAAAGCACATCACATAATGTTAAAAGCACATCATGTAATAACAAAAGCACATTACACAATGACAAAACCACATTACGTAATAACAAAAGCACATCACATAATGACAGATGCACATCACATAATGACAAAAGACCACCACAAGATGATTAAAGTACGTCACATAAAAATAAATGCACATCACATAATGACAAAAGCACATTAAAAATGATAAAAGCACATCACATAACAATAAAAGCACATCAAATAATTATAATCCACATCATAAATTTAAGTTTGCCATTATATGACAGTTTGAACCTTCCATAAAAACTCGTACCGGTAGATATGTAGAATTCGTTTGTACAAAAATCAAAATGGTGATATAAATCAAACAGCTATCAATTGTGATGATCAGGATTCATTTTTGTAAATAACATGTATAGTTTGCGCACATATTAAAAAAAGATCTCTAAGATATTAGTTTTTCGTATTAAAGAATTAGCCAAATTTTGCTCATGTTTTCGCATAGAATTTCTACATACATATATAAAGATATTAAAAAAAATCGAACTGACGTAAAGCAACATTTCATCAGGCAATCAATCTTTTTTGTTGTGCTTTTATTGTGTTTGATGTTATATTAGAAAAAAGCAACGACTCCTCCATGAAGCTTGTTTATCATTTTATACAACTGTCCTTGTATTTTATTTAAAGCAGGTGCTGACAAAAATTAAGCATTGCATTTTAAAAATAGTTTTGTCTTCAAGGTCACAAATAAAAGTGTTGACAATTTAAAAAAAAAGCACTATTATCATAATTTACTTCCCTGGTGTACGAAAATAAAAATCTTATTTGAGTCGTTAAAGTATATGTGTCAACGATATGTTTATCGACTAATTAATGTTACGTCACGGAGTCGAGAAGCTATGTAAATGACTTCTGCAATCTTATTTTGACCAAAAATAGACATGCTTGTACCTTGCACTCAGTTGCATGAAAAACAAAACCACACTTTCATAAAAGTACTTAACTTAAAGATGCTAACTGGTGCTTTAGCGAATTTAAGCTATGAAAAAAAATCACACACACACACACATACAAACCAAACAATGTATGATAAACATTGATCGAACTTAAGAAATTTATAAACAATACAAGTATGTGATAAGGGGATTAAATTGAACCCCTTGAAATTCCAGAGGTGGGATCAGGTGCCTAGGAGGAGTTAGCATCCCTTTTAACCGGTCACAACCGCTCTGAGTCCAATGTATTGATCGAATGGAAGGAATATTCTATAGTGCAATTTAGTATAAAAACAAAGGCCTAATAAGTGTTTTGAAACGATTCAACCGAAAAAAAGATCAAGTGACAGGTTGCATTTTCTAATAAGATCACAATATCGGTAATAGATCTTACGAAATGCAAATTCTAAACAAGGCTATTGAAAATCCCTGTTACATCAACTTATGTGTGAGTAGCCTGCCTCGATAAAAAAAATTACTTGATCGTTCTCAGAATATGCTCTGGAGTAGCGAATAATTTGGGAGACATAAACACCGTATGGAGGTGATGGCGGAATATCACTACATATAACTAAGGAAAGTTGACGATGGAGATGCTGAAGTAATCTGTAATTGTTTGTCATACAATTTAGTTGTTATCTAGCTTAAAAATATGAAAAAGATGTGGCAGACTCGAGTCTGCAGTGTTTTTATTCGTCTTAATGATTTGTTTTCTTCTTTTCTTTATTGATTGTTTGTTGTTGTTTTTTTCGACAGGTCTTTGTTATTAAAGAAAAATGATAGAAATCCCAATAAATTAATTTAATGTGCTGCATATGTTTATGCTAGTTTTATGTAACTGTAGTCCTACGTGTATATTAGAAAATTCAAATAAAAAAAAATGAATCACTGATTGTTTTCCAACAGCTAAATAGAGCCTTTTAATCTCTAGGTCATAAATAAACATGTTGACAAAATAAACATTTACAGTGTTTGCATTTTTCTGATGTACAAATAAATTGGATTTGGAGTGACAAAATTAATCAGAAAAAAGCATTAGAAATTCTGTTTATCAAGCACCAAATAACAAAGATAAAGAACTTAAGCTCCAGACAATATGACATTGCATTTGCAAACAAATTAATCAACAATGCTTTAATACCAAACGAAGTAAATAAAGCA